TTACTATTTTTTCAACATTCTTTCCATACAATTTCAGCATTTCTTATTGACTAATTCAATAGAAAATATTCAATCCAACGCACAATTTAAAATTCTAAATGCGAGTGGAGGAAGAAATGTTAAAAATTGATTTTACTCGGAAATTGGGGTTCATTAGAATTTAGGGATCGTCTGGCTATACTTAGTTGGACAAAATCTGCCGGCAGCAGATACACGTGTTAGTCAGGAAAGCTTTTCGGTTCGCAGGGGGTCTGCACCCGAGACTTTATACTTGGAACAAAAAGGAACCAAAGGGTGGTAGCAGCTTTCTTTGTCCTATTTTCCACGATTTTCAAGACCCCTTATTTTATTTTTAAACTCTTTGATTTTACCCTGAGCTTCTGTAATCGAATATCTCAAATATCGGGAATACAGGAAACTCCTTTCGGTTTTTTAACTTGAAAACTATATTTATTCCTATTTTTTTTTTAAATTGTTAAAACACCAATATTAATTCGATGCAAATATTATTTAGGATTTCGACTGCTTAAATGTGAGAAGGGCCATACGAACTTGTCGAATCTCGTTTAATTGCTTTCAACGTAAGAACAGAAAGGAAAAAGGAATTTTCCTATTCTTAGATCCACACATCCGTTTCTCGAACGGATCTCCTTACCAAATTTCTTTTTTTTCTCTTTCACAGTGGAAATACGAAAGACTTTGTGAATTTATTCTCTTCGCGTTTTTCTTTTAATGTCAAATATAAAACTTTGATATTATTTGTGTCAATTCAATTCTTCACAATCTTTTTCAAATATTACAGGTAAATCGAATGAAATGATACACCCGGTATATACAAAATATGCATCTGCGTTCCTTTTTATGGGGAAACAAAATGAAGCGAATAAACCGTAAAAGCTTCGCACGATGATCGTTCAGTATCGTCGAATGTTGAAAAGTAACGTGGGACAGGAACAACAAAATATGTTGGCATCCGTTTCATTCTCTGGATTCTGTCAATGAATTCTCACGTATCATTTGCACCAACAAGCTGCATTTTAAACTTAGCCAACAACTTCTGTGTATATGTATGTATGCATATACATAACATATTTGACGTCAAGAATCATTCGCGAACTTATACATCTATTTATAAAAATATAACAACTGCCCAATTGGCATGGTCAGCTGTGTTAAGATTTCATCTTTTAAAATTTTGTAAAATTCAATAGTTTTTGATTTGCGTAATATAACAATTATTTGAAGACGTACATTAATTAAACAATCTATTTATTCATTTAAAACATTATAGTAAACGGTGTACTGTACACACACACACATATATATGGCTTGTTTTTTCTCGTGGTCCTAAGTTGAACGAACTTGGCTTCCATCGTTTAAAGCAGACGCCTTCGATGCTTTTCTTTCAATGTCTCTCTCTCTCTCTCTGTTTCTTTTTTTTTATTCTTTCCGATGATCAAGCAGATTTTGTTGTTGTCGATCGTATCGGTAATGAAAAATCAAAGTCAGCATTTTTATTATATATTTTTTATTACGGTTTGCGCGACATAGTAATAGTGGCAAGATGGGTTAATGGTAGAAACATTTTCATAGATATTTTTATGTGATTTCCATTAATTTTTTATTTACCAAGTAAATTCAATCATCCTTGTCCCCCTTTTGAAGAATTCCCTAAGGATGAGGTACTAATGGAAGGAGAACATACATAGCTCGCACGCGCGTGCCAAAGGATGTGAGCACGTGCGGCACGTAGAAAAAAAAAAAGAAAGAAAGAAGAAAGAGGGAGGAAATGAGAGCATAGTAAACGACATTCCAATGAAGCACGAAGAAATTAGACTAAAAGATAAAATCATTCGTCAATTTTCGGTTTAGTTCGCGCGTGATGCCTATTCTATATATAATTATAATCATTTTTATAATATAATTATTACAAAGTGTGTAGGAGTAGTTTATTGTTTATCACTCTCTTTCACTCTCTCAAGATTATTTAATAATTAATTTATAATAATAATTATAAATGATTTATAATACTATATCAAAGGGGTGCATTACATGTGCCGAAATAGCTCAGTTGGGAGAGCGTTAGACTGAAGATCTAAATGTCCCTGGTTCAATCCCGGGTTTCGGCAGACGAAATATAATAATTATTATAATTATTATATGTTTCCAATTTTTTATTTTGTTTTATATTGAAGAAACTTCTTTTTTTTTTAGAAATTTTTATTTTTTTCAATATATTTTTATATTGGTATTTTAGGTCGAAACAATATAATGAAGATTATTTATTAGAAACAAATCCAATCCTAGTATCAAAAAAGGTTAACCATCTCAGTTAACTGTATTGATTTATTTAGAAAAATTTCTTTGAAAATAGCACGTGTTCTATATCCCCTCGTAAAGTCGTCCTCGTGTTAATGGTGGTACAGGAAAAAGTAGCATGCGTGGTTGTTACGATGAACAATTATACCTCGCGTTTTTCACGATAGGATCACGTTAGAAATGACTTAGGGGGACGTTAGTTTGTAGTACACCTCCGGCTGTTCGCGAGGGGTTGTGTTCTTATACGGTGACTTGACGAGTGACTATTGGGTGCCGATAAAAATAGCACCCTACAAAACAAAATGTACAAGAAATTGAAGAAGTAGTAGTAGTAGTAGTAGTAGTAGGAGGCGTTCATACAGTGGTCTAAAATTTTCTAAAACAACTTTCAACAATAATATCCTGTTCTTTCATTGATTTTAAATAGTTTATCCGAGAACTTTTTTACTTAATAAATATAAAACAAGATTAGCTTTTACTTACAAACTTTTTTCAATAGATATCTCTCTCTCTCTCTTTAATATCGTTATTTTCTGACTTTTGGAAACTTTTGGAGGGACTTGGAATTACTGTTCGTATGAAACAATCATTCGTGTTAGAATTAGTGAGAGAGAAAGACATTGAAATTTAGATGAAAGATAATTTAGAAAGAAAGAAAGAAAGGAAAAAAGAGAGAGAGAGAGAGAAGAGTCAGCGTCTTGGTACGCGAAAGAGGAAGTTCTATTTCCGCTCGGAATTGTTTCTACGTATTTCTTTTATCTTTTTCTCGTCATAGCGAGACGATATATATATTTATCCAGAATGAATATTTAAAAATTGAACATGTTATCTTTTTCTGCGAATTCACAAAGTTTTGGATTACTCTATCTTACTTATGATTATTTTAGCATTTCTTTTCTGAAAATTCTGTTCGATAATGTCATCTTCTTTGATTTATCCATAATGGGTTGCCTTTTTTTACCATTGCATTTCCACGTATGTATGTGTTTTTCTAAATTTACCGAAACAATGGTTTTATCGTCTCGCAATGAAGTGTTAATATTTTTTCTCGACCGTTCATGACAGAAATTAACGTTTGCTATAAGTACCGTTTTATATAATTTTATATAATAATAATAATAATAATGAAAGGAAAAGAAGAAATGATAGTTTTGGATTTTTCGGTTTCTGCAACGACCTTTCTAAGAATTGGGAAGATCGAAAGGAAAGACTACAATCAGACTTTTTCAATCCGAATAGAATTAGTCCATGGTGTTTAAAACGCTTGGAGAATGTGATCAATTTAACGTGTACATACCACATAAAACCTTTGTTTCTAATTTTTGTATTCTTTAGAATCCTTTGAAACGAATCCCGATCATGCTTCGGACGAATTAGATCGAACAATTCTAAACTCGTAGTCAGGTATGCACCAAGAAATATTTTTTTCTCTTTATCTCTATCTCTCTCGAAGAGGTTAAGGTTGAGGATTAAATAGTTAAAGATATATGTGTTGAGCGTAAAATACTATTAGAAAATTTCAACACCAACATAGGAATAAATATAATCGTACAAAAGCTTTCTTACCAATGTGTATGTTTAGGGTGCTACGAAAATAGCGCCAGTCTCGTTTCGTTTCGTTTCTTTTCGTCTCGTCTCGTATCTCTTCGTTGTAATTTCGTCTCGAACTACTTCACTACTTACTAACGAAGACACTTTATTTTATATTTTGATTTTCATCATACAAAAATCGATTTAGAAATTCGATCATTTGCTGCATAACAAAATACAAAATTCAGTTGACTTTGATAGCCACAGGAATGGATGTTTATGAATAAATAAATAAATTAATTAGTTAAATAAATAAATATATATTTTTATGTATATATATATATGCTCATATGGAAAATAAAATACTGAAATAAAGATAACGATTATGCTAAATCGAGCTTCCTCCGCACAAACTTTAGAAACGAACGAGTTAGCGTGCAGGAACCGACTGCAACAAGGATGCATCCACGATTGTCGGGAGACTCAGTAACTATGGCTTTTTCCTCTTCCACGAGCTTTTTACCCCTCCGAAAAGCTCATGCTTGCTTCCATACCTTCTCCATACCTTTCCCCTACTACAACTACTTTTACTTCCCGTCTCTAACCAAAGCATTAAGGATTTTCTTCTTCACTGTTAGCCGGATGCCATCACTTTCGATACTGATCTTCTCTACTACTCCTCTTTCACCTCATACCACTGAAATTTATATTTGGATTCTTATTTTCTTCCTCTTTCTACATACTTCTTTCTTCCTTGTTCGATCAATATTATCGTGGTAAATTGTTTCGCTTAAAAGTGTTGATGGCTTGCTGTTTATTGGATCAATGTTTTAACACATTTGATGCCAGTATTTTCAATCAAAATTAATCACAAAATATTAGTCATTAATATTAGTTGTTAGTATTATATCAAATAGTACAGTATTGTAAATAATTGGCATAATTTTAATGACTCAAAGAATATAAAAAAAATAACAATACGTATAATGCAATATATGTTTTGTATATTTCCCAAATATAGTTAACAATTATCCTCGTTAAAACATTACTCGAACAATTTCATTCACCTTTAATCTAAATACAATCTAAGTTTAATATAGTATATTTAAATATCACATTAAGGGAATATGCTTAGAATGCTGATTCAATGCATTTAAAAAATATATCAATTCTTTATTAATTCTGATTTTGTGTTTAGAAACAAAAATATATTTTTTTATATGAAGTAATGCCATTATGTTATTCTAGCGATAAGTATGATTTATAATTCCAAAATATTGAAAATTTCGAATTTGAATTGATTGATCATTCATTTTGTACCATTAAAATGAAATAAGATTTAAAAAAAAAAACACAAATTTAGAAAAAATTGGATACACATATTTAAATATATATGTGCTTGATTTTAAATGTTACATGGTGTTAGAAAAAATTAACAAATGTGCATGTTTACGAAATTTTCCTTATTTTTGTAAACTGGTCCCCAAACACCATACTTTTGATCATTTTTGTTACTTTGCTGATGTTGAGTTTGTTTCTGAAATTCGTTTGACGTTGAAGTCATTTTATCTTTCCTAAATAACAGAGGAAATAAAAGTCTTGAATAAAAAAGTGTTCTATCATTTGTTATATTAAAATTATTCTTTCTAAGTGGTTTAATATATCATTATTGAAAATTAATATAAATTATATACTAACTTGATTTGTTGATAAGGGCCCGTGATTTCTGACTCGTCCAAATTAGTGAACACCATATTTGTATCGTTTAAAATCCTTTTCCAACTCAAAAAATTAATTCAGATTCAAAATTCGATGCTTTTGAATTTGTACTTTGGTTTATCAGCTAGGAACTGATAAGCTTCGGTGCAATAAACAATGATTCGATGAAATCTCTTGAGTTTATTCTTAATTAATTATCAAATAATAATTATTGAACGTAAAGGTGATTACCAGAACTTTTCTTGTCTTTTAAGTTGCTAAAATACATTTAAAAAATGATTAAATTAATAAATATCATTCTTTTATTAGGTCAGTAAGCATGGAATGAAAGTAAGCGGAATAATCGAACATTTCGTACTGAGTGATCTAATATTTTTTCAAATTTTTATTTGAAATTTGTATACTTACTCTACGGCACGTGGTGTAAATGAACGAGTACTAATAACTCTAATCGGTTTGCAGCATTACCACGACGACTTCCTTTACGAGTCCGAAGATTTTTAGCTAATCTGTTTGTAGATAAAAGCAAAAGAAAAAGTAATACATATTTAGTGTAAAACAATTTGCATAACTTTTCTATATTTTTTCAAATTATTACGAAAGAGTATTGTTTTTATTTTCTTCTTCAATATTTACCTGACACTTGGTAAAAATGTCGGAGAATTGCCTTGACAATCTAGAACTTTGCACCTCATGGACACATAAGATCTTTATGATCTAGATGAGAAAAAATAATTCCAAGATTGATTAAATTTAAAATCCGTGAAGATTTGAGTTCTTCCTGATTACTTTTTCGAAGAAAACTTTTCCGCACTTTGAAATAACGTTGAAATTAAAAGTTAGAATAATTAGATTTATATCACGGATATTCCACAAAGTGATTGTAAGTCGTCAGAATGAACTGCCGTTCTGCTGCTTCATTCTATCTGCTTTACATAGTCTCTGACCACACCCCTTCTTCAACTTTCTGGTCAAGTAAAAGTTTTTTAGGTATGGTGGGGATATCATGATACTACACAGCATTGGTTTCATTAATTCTCCAACTCGATTTCATCCAATCCGTTTCAAGTTCACTCGATTATTGTACACCTAACTTTAATTATAATACAAATTTCAATTTTTCTTTTAGAAACAATGTGGAACGATTATATGTTAATAATTTTGTTATAAAAGATTTATATCAAATAATACATTTAGGGAAGTATTTTCTATGAAATATAAAAGAAGAGTTTTTATTCCAATTTGGTAGTGAAATATCGTCTTGTTTACAACGATGCATTAATGTATTCGTCAGTGTTTTTCTACGATTAATGACGTGATATCTTTCTGCTTCGATGTTTATCATATTGTTAATGCAATAAATTACATTGTATAATTTTAAATTATTAATAGATGTATAATTGGTGCATTCAATCTAGAATTTCCGTATTCGTAATTGTAGTATGAAAATATCAATTCTAAAGAAATTAATACTCAATGCTAATAAAATGATTTATCGATTTTTTCATTGAATTGAAATATTTTTCGCAATTAATTTATTTTAAATTGATTGCACACCGATAGCTTTAATTTTTATTCTATCGGCCATTATGTCGGTCGGCCATTTTAAGAGCGGCCATTACTTAATAGCCGGACATTAAGTTTTAATTTTTAATACAGGATTAATCAAAAGAGATTATATTACAAAATTATATATTAGATTAGTTTAAAAATAAATTTCTTTTTTTTTTTTTTAGACTAAGTGCGCATAGACATATAGTTTAATATTGAAATCAAAACTTTTCGTGCATAAGTTTCAATGACGATTATCAAAAACGACAAAGATAAATCATGGGTGATCATTTTTAACTGCTGAACTAACTTTAGAGTGAAAAATGTGACGCATAATGGTACTAAAGGGCCGCAAACTGTCGTTAGGTAAATCAGCACGAGACGATCGTATTTCAAGAAAACAAATCGAACATTATAATATTTTTTCTTTGTGATCATAAGTCACGAAGTTTTGTTTTTCATTTATTCAGTACAATTTTAGTTATTAGATTATACAACCGTTTTTATAGTTCAATAGTTTATTGTTTTAAAAATAGAAAAAAATAATATTAATCGCCCAACCCAAAAATATGAATTAAATATTTTATTGACCTTCAGAGAGAGAGAGAGAGAGAGATTGATTAGTAAATCTCTTTTGTAGAATCACGATAATCCTCCCACCCTGTGCCCAACTATATAAATTATACATTCAAGCAAAAAACTAGAATCTGATGCAATATTCGTTCAAAATGTTGTCATGTTGCGGAATTCTCCTTGTTTCTATGCAATATCTCGTATGTTAATGCATAAAGACAAGAATTTTCATTTGAAATAATATTAAAGAAAGAATTAAAAAATCAATTGTTTTTAATCATATTTTTATAAATTAATCTGAGCTTAGTTTATCCGGAAATTTTCAAATGGAATTAAAGTTTGAACGGACGATCTATTACTATGAGAGTATCGAATGAGAAAGAAGATCCTTGTCTCGTTTCGTATTTTCATTATAATTTTTTAATATAACATTTCATACAACATTTTTATCTTATTTTTACTTATAGAATGTTGGTAAAATTTTGTGGACACCTTCTTAACTTAACTTTTACAGAAATCTATTTTGTTTAACATAGAATTTTTTTAGACATTATTCGAGATAATCAAGTCAGATACTTAACGCTGTATTTAGAATTTATTTACCGTGAACACAAAAATAATGTTTTTTATTATACACTATTTGATAAATTATTTAAAATAGATAAATTTTTGTTATAAATACATATATATATACATATATATATATTTTAATAGATTACTATAAATACTAAAAATAATTGTTTGTAACAAAATCATTTCTTCTTCTAATCCATTTAATCAGATTATTAATTTAAAAAAAAAATGATATCTCTCTCTAATTTCTATAAAAGTTATTACATATATAGTTTAACTCGGACCTATATTAATTAATGTATTCGAATGTTCAGATAGTTCCGAAATACTAACTCTACCACGTTGTTTAATAAATTTAACAACAGCATCAAGTTCGCTTTCCGTAATGTAAATGAATTTTCCTTGATCGTCTATAACTCCAGTTAGCTCACCTGACTTTTGCCATTCTAAGATCTTATCTATTACGAATGCTGTTTTTAAGGAAAAATGTGCAGCTACGTCTTCCATATAGACTACTTTTTTTAATTTAACATATTCTTTAATATCGTCCAACAAAATATTCTGATCCTCTTGGAAACCTTCCTCCTCTACGCTAAACATTTCTTTCATTTTTAAATATTCTTCTTGTTCCTGTTTTTCCTTTAATTCTCTAAGTTTCCTAGCTTCTTCCTCTTGACGTTTTTCCTCATCTTGTTCTTCTTCGCGTTGCTTATCTCTTTCCTTTTGTCGTTTCTCTTCCTCTTCTTTACGCTTTTCTTGTTCGTGTTTAATTATTTCCTTTTGCGCTTTCTTTTCAGCTTTGGCTGCTAACTTTGCACGCTTCTTAGTACCCAATTTACCATCAGATACAACTGTCGGTGTATCTACTTCTACTTCATTATTTTCTATTTGTCTATTCTCATTCGCATTAATTTGATTATTTACTGCTGCATGTACACGATGACGTACATTTCTGTTACCAACTACTCGTCTCACTTGACGACGTTCTCCAACTTGATCCTGAACATTAGGTCTTTCTTTATTTGCTCCTGTAAAAACAAATTCATTTTCTAATATCAATTGTTATTTTCATGATTGACGGCAATATGGACATTTTAAAAGTACCATAAGTTGTGTATTAAAACAAATTTATACACATAGTTGAATAAAACCTTACCTTGATTTCGACGAAGAAATATAGTTAACGCGATTATTAATGTTGTGATAACAATTACACAAAGTATCAGTAATAATATATCCATTTTTTAAGTAAGATTTTTCAATACTTTTATTAAAGAGGTTAGGTTTACTGAGAAATGCATAAATTTTAGTAAGCATCGATATCAAAGTTTTCTTTTTTATCGACACATAAAATAGTACAATTTTTGACCGTAGAAACGCTGGCCGGGCACCTTAACAGCAGAAAAAAATACAACAAATTTTTAATTAATAATAATTAATAATAATAAATAATAATAAGTAATTATTCATTTTTTTTTTCTGTTGGGGTTCCATGCCAACTTTTCAATGGTAATATAAATGCAGATGCAAATGCGTATGCATCGATAAAATCGATTCTAATTGCGACTAATTTCCGAAAATTTCGCGATTGAAACGACAATCAAGAATCATTTCAAAACTTCTAGTTGCATTTACGAATATTACATACGATAATAAAGTTGAAATGATATAAAAAAGGTTAATTCTTTTTATTACATTAAAAATAAATAGATATGGAGGAACTTGAAGATCCGAATTTGAAAAAAGGGAATGGAAAATTTTCTTTTTCTAATGGAGATACGTATGACGGAGATTACGCATTGCATCTAAATAAAGGCACTTTGGTCAAAGACGGTTAATAAAAATCATGAATTATTAGATATAAACGTATATGAAATATTTGAAAATAAATAATAATTTTATAGGCGAAGGGGTGTACGTTACTAATGACTATAATACATATAGTGGTAAATGGGAGAACGATAACTTTGCTGATGATAATTTTTTTATTTGGTAATAATACGATTTATAATATATCTTTTTTTTTTTATTATCGATTCATTTCAATGCTATTACTCTATTTTCTATATTTTTAACTGTACAAAAAAGTCATAACAACGGAACACAATATAAAGGGGGAATTGACGTGCGTGGACAGATGAATGGAAAAGGTTCCTACACTTTTCCTGACAATTCTTCGATACACGCAATTTGGTCTGAAAATAGGCCTGTTTTTGAGATTAAGTATCAAGATGCATTTGAATATATTTGGATCGTCAAAAGTATCTCGGATGACGTAAGAATATTTAATTAGTTTTATACAAATTTATATTAAAAATAAAACTATATATATTTTTGGTGCCAACTGCAAGGCACCCTGTTTAAATTAACATAAGTTAAATACAATTAAGTTTATTTTTTTGTTGGCAATTGCAGTCAATTTACTTTATGCCTAGCAATCATTTTTGGATTGAAACGTGTCAACAAGAAATATCCGACGATGTTCCTAAACAATCATCAATGTCCACTTTACCTCTAAGTATTTCTTCAAATAAATAATCCCACAACTTTTGTTTTTCTTTCGACCAAAATAATATATAACTTTGTAAATTTGATTCTGATTGTGAGTAAGAATTAATTGTCTTTATACGCCACTGGTACTTCGAATTGAGTCGTGGCAGGCCTAAACAATGGATTTTCATCTAAACAATATACAGTTTTCTGCTTTTCTAATACAAATTTAGCGTACTCTCTTTTATCTTGTATGGCAGTCCAACATCTAGAAATGTCAAGAGAAACAAAAATTATCACGCACAAACGAATTCATTTATTTATATCTTTTATTATATTTTACTTACTTCCATATACATAAACCTATAATACCCAGGATCAAAATGGCAATAAAGATGATCCCTGGTATAAATGCTGCATGCAACGACGTACGGCAAAACTAAAAAAAAAGAAGAAGAAAATTTCCAAAATCTAACTTTTAAATGTCAACTATCGTTGTTAAAAAGAGTCAAATACCTTGTTGGCAATTTTTAATGTCACGGTATTATCCTTGTTAAAATGATAAATGTAAGGAATGATGCAAGTTGTTCTTTCTTTGGTAGTTCTAATGAAACAGTAATGTTCGTGTCCTAGAAATTAATAAAAGTATGGTCATTGAAGGGTATCTTCGAATTTCGAAGCATGAAGAAAATGAAACAAAAATAGGAGTATTTTTATGCACTTTCTATAGAAACGTTACTCGTCTTAAAAACAATGCTATTGTTGTATGACATAGTTAGTATAGATCCTTTTTACACTTGGACTTTTGAATAATTAGAAAATGTTCTCTCATTTAACACATTGCAAAAGGAATGTAATTTTGTACCTGTATCAACAGTATCCACTCTTTCAATTTGATAGAAACTGGTGTTTGTCTGACACAGTTGTTCGGTATCTTGTGCAACTTCCACAGTTGCATTAACGCAAGAATCGTAAAGAATGCAAAGACCGCTACCACCAGAACTCGCTGACGATTCACAGAAAGTTCCACGATAAAATAGGCCATCGGCTGCTGTAGTATTACACCTGAAAGGAACACACGTGTCCCCGATAAGATAATATACTTATTGTTAGAATGAAAGGAACTGGTATTAGGTATTTATATACATGGCCGACTTTGACACAATTTTCTAATCGGCTAATAAAATAAATAACGAACCGACAATGGCCACAATCGCAATATCCGTGATTCCCGCAGATTTCATTGCTTCCTGGTGCAATGCAAAGTTTATTCTCCGATGGACATTGACAGCCATCTCCTTTCCAGCCTTCTATGCAATTACAAGTACCGCATTCGCATGTTCCTCGACCACCGCATTCGATTCCGTCAGTCTACCAACAATCAAATCATTTTTATACAATTGCCAGGACAATTTTCTCTTTACCAAAGTATATTTTAACTGATTATTTTAAATAAATAATAAAACACGTAATATATAAAGTATCTACACTAACGCGTTCCAAGAATAATTCTTTACCTTATCGCAAGGCGAGCATTCGCAGAATTGACCATTGTAACCGGCATCGCAATTACATCTACCACAAGTGCATTCCCCTTTACCCGAACAAACCTCCTCCGAGTCATCTTCCATGCATTGCAAACGATTTTCAATCCAAGAACTCTCGTCGCAATCGCACGTTTCTCCTACGATCCAAAAACGATCGACATTTGAATATATTATTTGATGTCATATAGAAGGAGTCAAAGAAAATGAAAGAAGGATAAATGATTTACCAGACCATCCAGGATCGCATTTGCAAATACCACATTCGTTTATCCCATTTTGACAACGCGAACTCTCCTGATCTTTGCAATTGCAACCGCACAACAGTTCGACTTGGACGATTATTTCGGATGCTTCTGACGCCAAGGCATCGTCTATTATCACTGTTTGTTTCTACCAGCACACGCGTACAACAGTATATAGATGGAAGATGGACACTTTCACTATCGCGAGATTCCTCACGCGATCGTGTGTGCAAAAATATCGTATTCTTTAATAAAACGTTTGCTACATATTTATCGATTTATTTCCAATCGAACAATTCTCTCGAGGACAAACGACTTTTACTTACCCAAAGAGTTTCATTTCTCGGACAGGATTCCATTGAAAAGACGACCTTGAAATCATATATTTGACCTTCTTGAATACCATCGCACTCGGCCGTATTTAATTGCATTCCATCCTTCCCGCAATTAGAAAAATATTCTAATTTCAATGGGCTAGTCGAGTTATCGCGAAAAACTAATTTCGATATGATCTCGTGATAAGAATTTTGAATAATTTCAAGAATATTCGAACTGTTACCAGCCAGAGTTGCTACTCTAGCTTTTTCTTTGAGCAAATCTGCCATCATTTCGTATTCCTCGCGACGATCCTCCGTGACAGCGAATATCAAATTGACTTTGTGTTCTTTGAGTAATCTTGATACTTCGCCTAACGAAGGATAATCGTATTCCTTGGCGAGAGAATATTGACCCTGTTCATCTAAATGGCATAGGAAATCCTGTCGATTAATGGCTCCTCCTAACTGGAATAATAATCAACTTCATTAGAACGAACGATCAAAAATAGAAATAGACAGTCGTGTATATAATATTTGTATGAATCTCATTTGTAAAATGTAGTTTTTTTAGTTACCTTTCCTTCGCCAGCAAAATGCAAGTATCCATCGGTAGCAAGAAGCATTAGTTTTCGTGCTTGATGTCCCCACCCGATAACGTTTTCGCAAACTATAGCTTGAATGACACCATCCAGACCACTTTCCAAATTATCAACATTACCGGTAACGTCGCTATTGTTCACCTGAAACAATCAGATTTCATTTTATTTTACCCAAAAATACTCTCTGATATGTAAATGGGTTTGAAAAATCCGCCCGTACCTTTCGTACGAATTCATTGACATCCCCGGTTAAAGGAAGATGATGTTTAAACGAATAAAGTGGAGCACACGTAGTATGTTGGCTTTTACAAGGATTATTTTCGTGTCCAGGAAAAATATACGGCATCAATGGCTTATCGACGTAACTACCAAACCCAAGACGAAAATTGTTCGTGAAATTTCCCAAAGTTCCTGCCATTTTTCTGCTCAAACCAACGAGAGTGTCTTTGTCGTCTCTCATCGACCATGTTAAATCCATCAAATAGTATAAATCTAACGGATAGTTTCTGTATCAGAAAAAAACAAAGATAAAAAATGTATTTTCATGAAATTTTCCCCAATAAATCGTGCATTATATCAAGTTAACACATTTAAGAATATTGCAGTGTTTGCTTTATTATTAAAATAATAATTTTTTGTGCGTATATGTATCTGTATCTATGCTGTATCTCGAAAACTAGAGTTTATACGTTGCAACCGATCCTATTTTTAGTATTCCCCGTACCAAATATACGCGAGAATGCACTAGGTCAAAATAGTTTTTTCCTGATATTTTTCTTTTTCTTTTCTTTTTATCAAGTTTCTCTTATCATAGGTGTAATAACAAATATTATCAATATTTGTTCGTATATTTCTAAGCTCGCATAAGATAAGAAAAGTAAACGCGACCTTCCTCGATTATTGGTATTAACAGTAAAAATATTTCTTAAAATATGACGATTATCTTGTTTTGACGTTTCCATTGAAAACAACTTTTTACCATGCTTACTTCGCCGGTCGATACTGAAGATTAATTTCCATTTTGGAATTTGGTCTTAGCTTGAGGTAAACCTTTTGCGGTTTCAATTGCACCGGTAATTGATTTTTCGCAACATCTTGAAAATCTTCATTTTCTATATACTGCATGTATGCGCTTGGTGCTTTTCTGATTTCTGCTATCGGACAACCAAATGCTTTTAATCGTTCCGGTAAATTGCATCTCGGTTTACCCAGAGTTGAATTTGAATACGACTACAAATATATTCAATATATTTCCACAATATTATATGATAAAAAATGGCAAAAGAATTAAAAATATAAAAAATGTACCCAATCACTGCACCAAGCACAAGAATCGTGAGCTTCTAAACAGCTTTCGCATGACTTTTGCGGTACACATAATCTCAAAAGTTTAGTTTCTTCCATGATGTAACACTTAACGACGGTACACGTGATTAGGAGGAGTATTGTAGTCAACGTCAAATAGTTCACGTACGTCATATCGCGAATCTGGAATCATTTATTTCATGTCAGATGTATAAAGAAAGAAAAAGAATACAACAAAAATTGAACGTGAGACGGATAAGTGATACAGGAAACTATTCTTGATTCTTCTTCGTTGTACCTTTTTCTTTTTTTGTTTTTTACAATTAGATAATAAATCTTTTCTCTTTTTGTTCTGTTTGCTTTTTTTTTTTAATTTCAACGTTACGATCTTCGTCGTAATATACGCGCGCGGAAATATTACGTCCGTTCGTAGTACGTAGATAGAACGATATAACGAACAATCCGAAATCGGATACACGTAATGCGAGAAATTAGAAGCTAAACGCTGCAACAGCGTTCTACGTTTAGCTTCTATACGTATACACGTTAACGTTATCTACTATACGATAACGATAAAATCTCGTATACTTGTGAATCGTTGATTTGGCAGAGCACACAAAAAAAAACAGGATCCCCCATTATGTACGTTGGAACCACTAATCGACCTTTTATGGGAAACCTTTGTTGGATTCACCGCGTAAAATTGACATGCATTGTTGTAAATGCATACGATGGTGCGTGCATCTTCCTTCGATCATAGTTTAAAGTAGACAGTTGTGGCAATAGGAATATTACTTTCTAAGTTTTTACGACAAGAACGATAAAGAAATCGGCTCTAATGTAAATGAGTTAGAAATTGTTTATTAGTACGTTAGAACCTTTTTTTTACATTATAGATATATATTATAATTATCGAACGTAAAAAGTACGTGATGACTGATAATTGAACCATTTTATCACTATGACGATCAATTAAATATTCTTTATAAATATATTTTATGCTTCAAGGACATTTATGACGTACGTTTCACAGTAAAACAGAAGAGAAAAAGAAAAAAACAAAAGACGCGACTTCTGATTCTTCCTTCTTCCTTTTTAGTATGCAATCGATTCATTATCCCAATAAGAACACGCCACGTAATTAATACTGACACGCATAATTGCACACGCCCAAGTATACTTTTTATTTCTTATCTTACGCTACTTTTTTACCTTATTTATTTTCGTTTATTTGACATTTTTAACTTCTTGTCTTATGTATTATAGATATCAAAATTGTAATGTACAAATTTGACATTATTTATAATGTTCAAAGTATGTAGCATTATGATAATTTTAGTTATCTATGTCGTAATTATCGTTCAGAAAGTGTTCTATTCATTTCTATGAGTTAAATTTATGTTAGTTCCAATGTTGGAAGATTGCATACAATACTAACAAAAAGAAACTTCAAATAATTATCTATTAAAATTATTAATATATANATATATAATTTATTAATGTTAATTTTAACGTTATTAATCAATATTATATTTATTATGAATATTTTATTAAAATCAAATTCTTGCTTTTATGTTTGTAAGAGAATAGAAACACTCACATAATCGCATTGCTACGAAATGAAGATAATGTGTACTATCGACTGGTATGGTGCTGACATAATCGCAGTACTGGCCTATTTGGAATTGTGCATCTGTTTTACGTACACTTTGATTGTATCTCAAATGCTCGTTGATTGGACGAAGACGAATTAGGTTGCCACCGGAAAATTTATATCGATTTATGAAATTTTAATAATTCTAACAATAACCATTATTATTATTCGAGCAATTTTTGAGACATCCCATGCGTAACGAATTTTAAAATAGAATATATCGTAGAATAAATTAATTGCAATATATTTTTCTCTTTGTTAATAAACTTTCATAATTATCAACATAACAATAAACTAAAGATTATATCAGAATATCGTATTACGAAAAAAGTGAAATCAATTCGTAATAACTTAACTTTCAGTTATAATATTATCATATATTATAATTAATTATACAGGAAGAAGAGGTAGAGAGAAACAATATAAATAAATAAATATTTTTAATGTAAAATTAGCGAATAATTTATCTCTTTTATATGTTTATAATAGAATATGTTAATTATCAATTAGTTTAGCATACAAAATGTTGAATCGAATTGTTATTTATTACAATATATCACCTAATCACAATGCACATTAAATTTTTTTGCATATGAAATTAAGAATAAATAAACTTAGGGGAATGAGATGTAATACAAGTGAAATCTTAAACATGCTATTAATATGACTTTTTATTATGCATAAATGTATTTTAGTTACAAGACTTTTTTATACCCTTATGTTACATACAAACAAAAAATTAATTGCTCTATTCATAATAATTAATTATGTGCTCCTATACATTTATTCCTTTTTATATATATATATTTGTTGTTAACCTTATATAAAAGTATGACTTAAAATCTTATACGTCTGTACAATATTTGAAATAATTAATCTTAATTCAATATGCATATTTTTTCATAATATATCTGATAAAACATTGCTTTATTATTTATATTGATAATTAATTTATTTATTATTTTAAGAATAAAAATTAACTTAGAGATAAGACAAAAACCAATTAGAATTATACTGCTTGCTATTAACGTTGCTAGCTACCGATCAGTGATGCACAACCTTTTTAATTATAAAATATCGCATATGCGTTTGGATTTTGGCATATAAAATTGTTCGAGAATTTTGGTAGAGGATTAAACAAGCCTTGATCAATAAATCATGATTACTATTTTGTTTTTTTGGGGGGAATCTTTATGACGGATTGTGCTTCACTATTATAAATCTACATCCCTGATTTGTATCATATACAAAAAACGCTTTAATTAATTAATTATATTTAAATTTTTATTGTAATGGGTTTCCTTGTAACAAGAACGCACGATTGTAATATGATGACACTTTCATTTTGTTCATTAAATTCAAATTTTCATTACTGTCGTATAAATAAAGTTCGATTGATTTGTCATCGAACACTATGAACTAATTAACAATACATTATTATGTTTAACAATTGATTGTGTGGAAATATGTTAAAACATTTCCAATACAATAATTTACATATTGCAACGCGACAATCGTTTTTTATGTTTTTTTCTTTTCTGTAACACGTTATCGAGTTTCATATCAACACATAAGCAAATAAATAAAACAATTATTTATCTCTGCAATATAATAAAATCGAATGAAAATAATAACACGCAAAAGTATTGAAAGTTCCATCGAAAGAATCGTTGCGAGTGTCTCGAACAAACTATCCGTTTCATGTTTTTATCGCTAAAAATTACGTTGATGATATTTATAAAGCAATTATAATTAATAAGAGCTATCTATGTGTGGTACAAAATTACAAGTTTCTGTTGTTTTTCCGTTTCGCAGTCTTTTTACAACGACATATTATATAAAAGTTCTATAAAACATGTAGAAAGAAAATTTGACCCGTCCCGTTTTCCCGTTCCGTTTCCTCCCCCCCCCTCTCATCCACCCTATGGGAGAAAAATTTCTATGGTTCTCTTTCCGAACTGGAAATATGCCTGGTCAATTGTTGATGAATCGCAGCATCGTTCTGATCCTTGACAGGTATTTCTTTCGTTTTCTTATTAGTCGTAGATTTATCGTTTGTTTCGTAATTAGGTAAAATATCTTTGACCATTGTACGAAAGAGTTTACTAACGCATGGCCATGGGAAAATCCTGAAATAAATTTTCATATTTGATCGTTTCTCGTTATTGAAATATTTCAATTGATAGTGTAAGTAGTAAACGTTGTAATACCATTTTAAAGGTACGACGAAATGAAAGAAATTCGGTATCATCACCAATTTACGATTGCATCGCAACGACATTATGGTTATTTCTGCTACATCGTTTGGACTGAGTTTTGGTAAAGATCTGTAATAATATAACCAAAAGAAAAAATAAAGAAATATAATATTCGCTGTTATTATTATATATATATTTAAAAATTGATTGATTGATTTTGAAAGAAGTTTTAAAGGAAAATAATGAATAAAATTCTTACCCGGAGTATCTGTTGCCGAACATGGCGGTACTGCGTAAGAAATACGGACATATTGCAGTTGTATTAATGTTATCGTATCCTTCGTACTAAAAAAACAAAAGGAACACACATAATGGAGATTTGATTTGAAAATATTATAATAAAAGGTTTAATATTAATTGATAGAAGACATTAATCCCGTTCGGTCTAAGAAATAATGGAATAAAATGAAAGAAAAAGAGAACAAACCTCCAATTCTATTCTCAATCCTTCATCGAATCCAACAACAGCGTGTTTAGAGGTACAGTAATCAACCAATTTAGGAATCCCCGCGAAACCAGCCATACTTGCTATACTAACAATATGACCTTTGTTACTTTCCATCATAGCCGGAAGGAAAGCTTTCACTGTCTGCAAAAAAGGAATTTCTATTATAGTTCGATATGTAGGGACTATTATTACGAATGTAAATAATAATCATCTGCAAAATCTCTCTAGTATTTATAATTTATTATAAAATCCCATTTTCTGATGGGGATCAAGTTCGAGAATATAACATTTCAACGAATACCATATTATTGGAGAGTTGAATACAGTGTTGGGAATAATACGAGCTGATTAAATCCTGATTGGAAAGGGACATTAGAAAGTGGTGGTTCATTCCAGTTATCTTTATCGGAATAACCATGACTCTCGTCGAGATTTTCGTCGTTTTTTTTTTATTTCAATTTATTTGGAAATAAATTAAGAATTTATAAAAGAAGATTTCCTAATTTGACAATAACCATTCGATATTCGTGGCCTCGCTCTATTTTTTCCGTTCGAGTGCCTCTAATGATAATCTTAAGTTTTTACTCGATATTATATTCATTCAATACTGTGCATACATTAATTTCACTTTTATTTCCTTGCCCGAGAAAAATAAGACGATTGATTTTTTCTTTTTTTTAGATGGTAACGAATTCTCTAAGAAATTCGATGGTAGTTAGTTTAAAGGCAAGTTTATATTTATGGGATAACATAAATTAGTAGAAACTTGAAAGTTAATTTAATGTTAATATATATATTTGTTTGTTATTCTGCATACTAATTTTTGGCTTAGTACCGTTAAGAATGAAAAAAAAGATCGTTGATTCCTCGTTATCATAGAAAATATCTGAATTTATTCATCAATGCTAATTGACTCGATTAAAACCGGATATTTTTGTCAAAATAAATGACACTGATTATGTAAACGAAATTTTTTGCATGCAGGTTTCTTGCATTTGTATTTTGTTTATATATTATCCGATTATGATCATATAATTAATTGTACTCACCATCACAGGGATATACTACACATTACCGATTTTTTCGAATTTAACACGATTTTAATCTATATAAATTTCTTATTTCGGTTATAATAAATGTTAATTACTTTCATTTTATTTATATCAAGAGTAAATTTAACTTTATGAAAATCGATATTTACTTTCTAGTTTTCGTATATAACATATCCATTTCATAAATTTCGTAATGGTAAAAAAATGTGAAAGAGATAGATGTTGAAGATGAAAAGAATTATGAAGATTCTCGAACTAATCATCATAATAATTAAGGAGCTATTATTAAAATGAATTCATGAACAAGCTTCGAGATGTTTTTAAAAAACAAGTTTAGTGTCATTTAACATATGTTGAATATTTAAATTATTTGATTTTTTACATTATAAATAGTTTATTTTTCAGGTAATTTTTGAGAAACAAGAATTTTGTTACTTTGAATAGAAAATACTTTTTATACAGAAATATTATAGAAACAGGTTCTGATTCTACAATCAGAACAGAAACATTAGTTTCTAAAACACAATTTATTAACTATAGATGAAACAGAATCATCAATAACATTTAACGAATAATTATTTCCAGAAATTTGGAGAGAGAAAATATATATTTAATCTTTTAATTCATTAACATAATATCAAAATGCTAGAAATATTTTTTACTTTTAATGGATTTGCGTTAACAGTGTAATAAATATACTCGTCATCTGTATGAAAACAAAGAAAAAAAAAGAAAAAAAGAACAAACAAAAAAAATAAATTGGTTGGTTAATTTGACATTATTTGGATTAATTTTGAAGCATCCTGTAGTGAAGTATAAGTAATGAAGTATACCGTTTGATGAAGTATCACCATAGACAGAAGTATTACAATTTTAACGCAAAATAAGAAAATAATTTAACACGATTTATATTTACATTATAGAAATGATTCTGCAAGTTAGCCATATTGGGAAAAATCCAAATGATGATCGCATCATCCCCATTTAAACGTAATTGCACAAATATAATCCGAGTGTTAGTGGGTTAAATTACAAAAGAAATAACGCGGTTGTTTTTGCTCGTTTTAGAGTTGGATTTTAGAGCTGAAATTATACAGTCATATTACCTTAGACGAGTATGGGTTTTGTTGGAAGAGTTAGAGTGTGTTGTAATTTGAAAAGACAAGAAAATATGGCAACGCGACACGAGTTAGTTAGTGTCTGTACTCATCTGACCGGTTTTCAGTATCTGACCGACGGCAATGAATCCAACCAACACAACTAAAATGTAAAAGAAACTCGAACATCTTGGTTTATCCTCTCACCGATATTTCTTTACACAGGGGTCCTTGAGAGAATCTGACGAATGTATTCAACGACATACAAAAAAAAAATCTCTCATACAAATACTTCAATATTAAAAAAAATTCGAACTGTTTAATGATATTACTATTAGCACTCATTATGTTTGCTCGCTTCTTTTTATTTTATTGTTGTTGATTTTATTATAATTGATATCGATTGTGTGTGTATCTAATACAGTGTTTCTCAATTTATGTGCTCGTGTTTCAATATTTAATGGATAGGATACAACAATGGTGTTGTATATACCAGTGGTGCTATTTTAAAAGTAATAATTGATTGGTGAGATACATTTGTGTGACGATAGTTGTCCTTGTGAATTATATCCCGGTAACAGTTTTTCCTTTTTAAATAATGCATTGCATAGTGACCTAATTCTATCCTAACTGGTTGTTTAAAATTAAATTAGGTCGCGCTCGTAAAATGATTCCAACAATATAGATGGTTCAATAGTATATATGACGTTGAATTATCGAGCATCGGCGTATCTAAAATGAGTTTTTAGTTTGTAATTCTGGTGTGTATAGCTCGGGTATAAAAGTAATCTATAGCAATCGCGTAAAATCTAATAACGATCGTATTCCAATTTGCAAAATGAATTTCTTTTCCGTTAGATCGTAAAAACGTTTATCTGAAGAATTAAAGTTTACAAATGTATTCGCGTCGATTAATTTTTGTATGCGATCGATAGCTTAAAAAATAAATACGCGGATTTACAAAAGGATGATATAAAAATATATGGATAAAACAAAAATACTAGTAGTAAAAAAAAAGAAAATAACAATAACCGATAAATCACGGTAGAAAAAAAATATATCCGCTGATAAAAGTTTGATTTTCTCAATCTTCCGCGCGAACAAAACAACGATTATTATAAACAACCAGTTACAACACATGGGACTAAATATAGGAGATCTTAAATATCGAGTTTCGGCTACAGCAGAAAATCTATATTCGAAAACAGGTTGGAGAAAACAATCCGCTAAGAGAATTGGGCCGTCATTTTTTATTTTTATTTTATGAAATGTAAAGTCAAGGTTCACTTGAAAAATGGGATGAAAGTTGGGAACAAGTAATTGAAGAAGTTGCGAAGGTTGAATTAGGTTAAAAACACTATGATGTAACACGTGATATAACAAATGTCACATGAAGTAACGTAATTGTCGATTTGTAATGGGGATAAATCTGACGTCATGGTCAAATGGCCCCTCCCCCTCCAACCACCTCTTCTTCTTCGCGTGTGCGATTATTTTCTGACAATGCTTTTTTATCAAGGTTAATCAACAACGTCAGTTTTTTAACTTACAAAAAAAAGAAATGTTATAAAGATTATGACATTAATATTAATAATTGACCCTATCGCAATCAAAAATTGATTAAATGTATTTTGAAATATAAAAAAGGTATAATAAATAACTTACCCAAAAATGACTCATGATATTGACATCTATCGTACGTTTTAGAAGATTATCCGGTGTTTCGCAGAATTTCATACCGTTCACTACACCTGCATTATTGATCAAGATCGATACCTGCAAATTAAACATAAACATGAATTGAAATAACAAGGAGAAATAATGGAATAAGAATAAGAAACAGGATTTTGTACATAATCAACGATATATGAGTTCTATGATATAATTATTTGGAATTATACGATAATCATATACGAATCGTGATAGTATGTACATTGCGATTTATTACAATGATTTTAACAATGGAATTTCAAGGAGCTTCGATCACATATCTCGTTGCGAAAGATTACGCGATTTCCTTGTTACGTTTTAAAAAAAAAAATGTTTCTCCAAGTTTGTTAAATAATGAATTTTTGATTCGTATCAAAAATTGTTAAACAAATGTTAATAAGACGCGAATTTCTCCGGATTACTCAATATAATTCAAGAAGAAGAAGAAGAAGAAGAAGAACTGGTTTCCTGAATCACTCTGAATAAACATACTATGTAAGCCATTGCGAATCCTTAACCGATTGAATATATAAAAGTGAAAGTAGGTACAGGAAAGGTCGATGACAACAGAAAGAAAGATTTCGATCGTGCTGCAAGATCATGAATTTGTACAATCAAATATTATTAATGCTTTTATCAAACACAAAAGAGTGCACTTTAATTTAATATAAGTTTCATTAAAATCTATTCACTTTTAGTATAAAAAATATTTACCGAAACTTTTCAAAGAATGTACAAAGATGCACAATTTACAGCATTGCAATTTCTGATATTTAATCTCTGATATGTTTAAATAGTAATTTGATATTATATACTTATTATTATTGGTGCATATTTGAATAATGAATAAAGATAACTGTTGTCGCGAAAAACGATGGAGGAACAAAAATTAGTTTCGAAGAATCTTTGAAACAGGTCAGATCGAACTAAATAATGCTATACGATTGTATATATTACAGCGATGTGGCGTAACTTAGGCTTTCATAATGTTCTCCCAGGATAAAATGGAATCTACTATCTTTTTCTAGGCGAGTAGGTAAGTAAATACTTGAGACTGTAAGACGAGAACATAGTATTCATTCGTAGTAAAAGCTATATAAACTCGAAAAGAGAGTGGCACGCGATCTCTCTAAACAAAAGTTCGAAATCAAATTGATAACTACTTTCGAAATACGAATTGCTTTGATTTCTTCTTTTTTTTTTTCACGATATTTTGAATATCTTCTTCTTACCTTGCCAACCTCTTCTCTTAAGAGTGCTGCTTTCTTATAAATATCCTCGCGATTGCAAAGATCGCAAACATAACCGTAACAGGTACCACCCGCAGCTTCGACTAATTTCACTGTTTCTTCGATACCTGAAAAGTAATAAAAAATGTAATATTTACATCATTTATTTTATAGCATTATCCTTTTGTTTAATAATTCAAATTCATTATGATTCACACGATTTTAATTATAATTGATTAACTATCCGAATATTAGAAATATATAATCGCTCATCCATGACCAATTAAAAGTTGTATTGTCCTAAATCAACTACCGTAACTAACTAATTCGTATTTCTGTTTGGTTTAAAAAAGATATAGGAAAAAGGAAAAGAAGAAAAATGATACAACATCCACGCACATTCGTGTTTGACAAATTTAATTAATTATTATCTTTACCTTTTGTTATATCCGATATGTCTTTGTAAGAGGTGAAAACTCTATTAGGGAGAAATTAGAAAGTAACAACGGGTATAACAGAAATAAGACACATTTATGCGCTCATGCTTAACACGACGAAAGTTTGAAAAAATAAACCTATATATATATATGTTACCTTTATTATATGATTTATTTCATTTAATATAAAAAGAAAAAAGAAAGGGGAAATGTTTGAAAAATAAATAAGAGAAGTTATAATATTATTATTACGGAAAAACAAATGAAATGAAACTTCAAATGTTAGTAGGATAAAATACCTGTACGAAAATTTTCACTTCTGTGTCATATCTTTAAGAATCTAGTTTCCCTCTGAAGTATAGGATCTTAATACAAGTAAAAGTTTCCTCGTTGAAACGAGAAACGGTTCGTTCGTGGTAGAATCGTATATATATATGCTACTATAGTATTCTCAAACACTTATAATACCTCAACGTCGTCACAGATGCAGCAGACAGTAGGACACTGACCTACCTCGTGTTGACCTAATCAATTACTTTTTTTTCTTTTTACAATTAGTACATTCGTACGTGTAAACAATATGTATATTTTAGCATTACCCACCCAACCCCGAAAAATTCATTCAATTTCTAATTTATTTGACATTTTTTTATCTCGAGTGTTTGTTTTATTTTGCGAATTTGTTCATTTCTTTTTTTACGCGTATAATTTATACAATTTTAATAATTATCAAAATTAGCGAATTAATATATGGTATTTAATTGATTGTTCATATAAATTGTGAATTGCCTGGAAAGTTCATGTCGCTATTAGAAATAATTTGTTGCCCGAGAAATAAACTAAAACTGTATTTGTTAAGAGGGGGAGAAATATGAGCTTCAGAAAATAATATAAAGTAAAGAAATCCTTGAAATAAAACGAAAGGATAATATTCATTTTTCTTACCTATATATATATATATACAAGAAATTGTTGTCTCTTTTATTTCTTTAACTAATTTGAAAATTACACAGTTAATTGACACAGTTAATTGACACAGTTAAATATTTGAAATTCGTAGTTTCTATTTTTAAGTATTATAATTTTAATTCTTACGTATACTACTTGGATTAAATTTTGTTTTATAGTATATACATATATATATACATGTTACTTTATATATGTTAATTTGTGAAATAAACGATTAAACTTTTGAAATGACTACGCTGACCTATTAAAAGTATTAAAAAAAGACAGAGAATTACACAGTTCGAAAGTAAATAATATATATATATATATAAATTTAAAAACGAGAGGAATAATTAATTTTGCTGAAATTTGGGCCGTCAGATAATTTAGACCGGTTTTTCCACTTTCTAGGCGGTTTCTAAAAATGGGCTACAAATAACGTGCCACTCAAGTCATTCGGTTAATTTCACGAATCGCAGTTTATATAAATGCTTGCTTATATAAAATAAAACAATTGCAGATACTTAATTAATACAAATAACAGCAAAATCAGAAGAGTTATGTAGCAGAACCATAATCGTTTGTTGAAGATGATTTTGGAGGTAACTTAAATATTCTTCTGCACAACACGTAAATAATATCAGAGGTATTAGGTACAGAGTTGTTTTCGGCGTTTGAACTTCCGTTTTTTCAAGAATAAAAATATGATCAAAGCGAATCTATGAACATTCGTTGCTCGTTTTTCTTCCTTTTTCCTTTTAACTATCCCTTGGAAGACTCATAAAAGAAGACGAAGATACACACATTCTTTTTTATCTTCGGATACGACACGAAAATATAGATAGATATTGATTGTAACCAAATAAAAGAATATTTTCCTTATACTTGGGATTCAATTTCAATTGATTAGGGCAATCACGCGAATCCTATATACAATTAAATATAAAATATTCCAGTATCATTTTCAAACAACAGACGTGTAAAATTTGTAGAACAAAAATTTCGGTTTCATACTTTTTACATTTGCTAATTGTTAGTATTGAAAAATAAAATAAGTTGAATAATTTAAAAAATACGTTTCTCTGTGTATAAGAATTTAAATGAGCACTCTATTTACGAAGAAATACGAATGATTTCTAATCTATACTGGGAATAAAATACGTGTAAAAGGAGATAAATATTTAAAGATAAGAAATAAATAAGTAAAGTTCGGGTTGCTAGAGTATATTTTATTCTACGAAAGATTGAAACAGGTGAATAAGCAAAATATGAAATGGACTGACCTTCTTGGTTAATATCCCAGACAACTACGATAACTCCAAGATTAGCTAATCTTAGTGCCAGTAATCTTCCTAGACCTCCGCCTCCGCCTGTTACAAGTGCAACCTCGCCAGAAATGTCCTTCATTTGATACTTGACTGGAATAAATATTCTAACGATTCTTTCGACGATAATCTTCGCGCAGAACAAGAGAAAACTGATCGTATTATAAATCAAATGAAATAAACTCATTTTCTCGGTATCTTTTTCCATTATTTCTTTTTCCAATTACAAAGTAATAATATTTTTCTTCTACTTCTTATAACGTTGTTTTCTTTTCCTTTTATTCGATCACTTTGCATGTAATTATTGTCTGAGATAGTTATATAACGTTAATAATACTAAACAAAAAAAAAGACTAAAGTTTTTTCTCTGTTTTTTCTTTTTTTTCTTATACTTGAAGGATCCTTTTTAATTGCTTAGCTTGTTATGTATGCAAAGAACGTGGCGACAGACCTCGAAACGTAATCGAAACCTCTTTAAACACGTTTATACACTTAATCAGATACGTCGATGAATGAAACGATCAGTTTATTTTAACGTATCTAGAATTTGATATATTGTCGCACTTGCTTTTTATCTTCTTTATTGTTTTCTTCTTCTTCTTCTTTCTCAAGACGCAACAATTACTTACTTTCACGCAGTTTTATGACCTGCACAGAAAAAAATACAGAACGTTATTATCGATTCTTATCTAACAATAAGAAAACAAAATTATGGCAAAAAAATAGAGGTATGTTCAAACATATTTTATGTTAATCCACGTGGCTAATAATTATCTTCATTCGTAATTTATTTAATAAATTATTCGAGAAAGATTTTTTGGACAAAGTTTTCATTTGTTATTATCAATTTCATTATAATGTTATTTTATTTGCAATGGTAATTTATTGAAATCGTTAAGACGTTTCTCTCGATATTTCATTCAAGAAAGAAGTTGACGTTTGACACATTTGAAACATGTTTTTAGAAGATAACGTTTAGAAGATACCAACAAAATAATGGAAGAAAATGTTAAATGAGAAGACTTGCATGAGTTGGTAAAGTTTGCAGAAAATTCATCTCTTTTTCATTTTCACAAGAATATAATAAATCATTCATAAGTAAAAATGTTTATAAGGAAAAGCGAATTCTATAAGCTGTACGTTTGCATTTTTTTTCTTTTCATTATTTGTTTAAAAAAAGATCAACAGTAAAAAAGAATTTATTATGTAAAAAGCGTTGCATTTATTATAATCAATTTGCAATAATATAAACGTACCAATCGCGAAATAGATTCGTTTCTCGTGGATACGCTAATTCGTCACTTTCTAATATAACCATCACTTTCAATTTTCAATAAATGCTACTGTTGAATACTTTTCTTTTCTATCACGATGATTTATCGTTTCGTCGTAATCAAAATTATTTATTTTTTAATATGGTTACATATATATTCTATAGATATAAGCAAAATTATTTATTAAATAATATAAATATTTATATCGTTTAATTTTTTTTTATAAAATAATTTAAATATTTTTTCCATTGTTACGTCATTTATAATGAAATTACATGTGTTGTTAGATATGAATTCTACAAGATAATAACATTATTATAATATAAACATATTATTAATAAAATAATATTTATTTAAAAATTGATATTATTTTCACCTAATCGCGCGTACGAGATCATCTTAAAAACGTCATTTTCTTTTGGTATTTGTTCTTTCTTAATCGGTATCAATAAATACTTATTATTAAATATCGTTTGAATATTAATACTTTTTATGAGGATCATATTATTTTGTTTTAATAAACATTTATGATATACGAAAAATATTATATACAAGTTTTTGAATATAAATCGAGAGCAGTCAGTTTGCGAAGAACATTGGAATACCGGTTAGTTTTCCACAGAAACGATTGACTTTCACTGTACTTTACTCCAACCAGCTAGCTACTCGAGTATTAATAACATTTCTGATAAAAACTTAACATTGAAAAATAACAATCTGCGATAGTAAAAAAAATATCGAGCTATTACTTGTTCAAACATATTCGAAATATTGGCTAGTATATATAAAATGAATTTTTAAAAAATATAATCGAACGATATTGCATACTCGAATCTTCGAATTTAAATAATATTTTTACAACAAATTTATAATCGACGAGTTATAAATTGTTATTTGTCAAATAAAATATAATTAACTAACTTATAAATAATATCCTCTTGTGTCACAATTAGAAGCTATTTATTAAAATAAGATATATTTAAAAAAATTCTAATTTGAAATGTTCGATGATAAAACAAATGAACGTAAGCGTGAAGATCTTTAGAAACATAAATAGAAAATTATTTTGGTCACGTATCAGATGCATACATATATATACAAAAGAAATAGAAGAGCATTCATAAAATTAATTCAAAAATATTCGAATTTATCTCAATATTTTCTTGCGCTAATTTTGTGAATAATGTTAAGCCTAGTAATAGAAAAAAAAAAAAACAAAGTAAAAAAATAAATAATGTTCCAATGATTAAGATCATTTAGATAATAATACATACGTAAAAAGATCAATTATCCTTCCGTACTTTCCCGAAAAATAAAAAGAAAATAAAAATGAGCTATACGAAAGCGATTAAGCATTTGTATGAACGCGATAAATAATTATTCTTCGTAAGAAACAGGAACTCGTGTTCTCCGCACTACGACGGTCGACGATACACTGAAGACAACACTGAACAACTGTGCGAACTATACTATACGAAAGGTTTTCGCCTTCACCTCACAACGATATCGGATCTATGCAAAATGTATTTCCGAGATACGTTCGAACATTAATTCGATTCAATTAAGCGAATTTATGAATATATATACTTCTGATTAAATATTAATCATTTGTGTTTGTTCATGATTAATAAAATAGAAACGATTAATCATACGAACTTGAAAATAACGACGCGACCCGTATAATCAAATTTCTTAACACCTATAATTGCTTATTATCGAATGATCTTACAATCAATTCTGAAATTCTATTCGATTACAATTTGTTCATTATTAAGTTTCATTGAAAATCGAGAGAATATGAATTTAATATAAAATCATTTCTAATGCGTATAATTTTTTGTTATCTGATAATTATAATCGTATATATAGTGATTCATTCACCCTCCATATGTGAAGCTTTAGAAAAACGAAGCACCGTCATGGTAGGAAACGATCGAAGTTATTCCAAGTGTGCCTATTTATAAACTTATCTTAATAAGAATACAAACACTTGAATCAGATATTGTTGTTTGGAAATATGTATATATCTATGTAAGAAGTTTCACCGTTTATTCTTTAATAGTAGTAGTAATAGTAGTATACTTTTGCTTTCATGTTGCATTTTAGCTACGACCGCAAGTTTTTCTTTGTGCAATCCAACTCATCGTGAAATGTCTCGTCTATTATGTGATAGAAATAGAAATTTGCAATCTTATTTGAACTTTTATAAAAATCATATTTTTTAAATACAAGTAAATGTGGGACAAGTGGTACGACTTTTTTACGGGCCGATTTATAGCATCGAAATATAATATAATAAGAATTTTATTTTTTATTATTGTTCGTTTATTCGTTTAACTAATTGTTTATCCATTTATGAGCAGAATATATATCCAACAATCAAATCTTTATTTGTATTATAAATCTGAGTACATTTTTTCATGTGATATATATATATATATATACATATATTGCATATGTTTGGTTTTTCTCTCTTTTTTTTACTTATAACAAAATAATAGATCTTTTAGTGAAATCACAATGTGTATAGAACATTATATAACGCTTGCACCAATATTTAATTATATATGTAAACGTATATTAATATTGTATAGATAAAATAATCGTTGCACATCGCAAAATGTACAAAGATAATTAATTAGACTAACAATAAAATAAATCTTAAACATATTACAGCTACCCGCTTTAAATATTTATAAAGATAAGAAGCGTTTCATCGTTTTCATTTGTATCTAAAGAAAAATCTGAATTATTTGTTATAAGTTATTGTAAAGATCTAAAGCATCATAATTTAAATTGAATTATTTCTATATGTGTTTGTTCACTTCAAAGAATATAACTTTTAGTCACAATCGTTTGAAATTAGGAACAACATTAAAAATTGTTTATACCTATATGAATTCTAAAAAAATATGTAACACAATATTTCTACGACGAACTAAACGTTAAAATACATAATTCGTTATCTCTATGTGTTCAATTTAGAGATTTTAAATAAGCGACATTAAATAAATCTAATTCGTTGGCTAAATAATTAGCCTTATTTCGTAAGACTTTAGCTTTGGATGAGGATTCTTCTAGAATTCGAATGGTATTGGCGATAGTTTTGAGCTCGGCATCCATTTCGGTTGTTGTTTCATCCACTAATTGACATAGACGTGCAAATGTACCAGAAAGCTCCCTAAAGTCAATGACAATTTATATATTTTTTGTTCTTGTTCTTGAAATATTATTAGCATTACAAATATCACGAACTTACTGTTGTACTTGATGACTACAATTAGCAGATGTGAGATCGACGATCAATCTTAATTTCTTTGTAGCATGTGCGACGTATTGTCGTTTAAATTCAGCTTCTTTTGCTTTATTAGTCCATGTTAATCGTTCATAAAGATACAAAGCACCATAAATTGCACCAGTCACAGCGATAAGTCTCCATCCAATTGTTTTCAACATCTAAAATAACAAACAAAATGATAATTTATGTTATATATTATTGTGTGCTCGATGTTACTTCAATTGTTGCTTACAAATCCAGCAATTATGAGACCACCCATTGTGCCTTGTGATGTTATCGAAGCTATAGCTACTCGTGTAGCTAATGACCAATCGTCTGTATTTGTCGAAAAGTTTGGTGTATTTGATATAAATTTAATAGAATCAATGCTATCTGTTGGCGACGTTATAGAAGGTGGAATCTAAAAATATTTTATTAGTTATCATAACGCTTTAAAGTAATCAAATAAATCTGTCTTTTAATGCATACCTCTTGTGGATAATTAGAGATAGCTAGTTTTTGACTATTTTTTCCAGCAAATCTATTGATAATAGATGTTAAACCCCATGAAAATCTGAATTCTAAATCCTCGTGGAAATCAGCGCATAGATTATCGCAATTTAATCTATAAAGGATTTCGAATGGTGCTCGTCTGGGTAAAATATTTAAAGAAACTTGTTTCTTATTATCTGCTAATAAACCTGCCATTCTTTCGGTCATTTCACGCTGCGAATTTTCCATATTTAATGCTAAAGCTGTACTCAAGCGTGCTCTTAAATTGGAACCTTTTCAAATTAATGAATATTTGATTTAATATTTTATATTTACTAAATTGTTTGTTGTTTAATTTAGATGTATATAAAAAGTAGTAGCCTTTTATTACCTAAACCATGTTCCACGTGTGTATGCAATTCACGTTTATATACGTTCAATACCAGTGCTTCTGAATGAAATGGAACACTAAATTCATCAACGAGCACAGCTAATCTACGAATTTCTTCATTCAAAGCCTTGGATACTTTCTGTTCAACATCTTCTACCATATGATGAATTTTATCTTTCATTTCTTGCGTCAATAATATTAATTGTTGTTCGGTGAAATTTAATTTATCGTGAACTTCCTTTTTAATATTTAATTGTTCACTTTTCATCTTTTGTGTTTTTTCCAATATTTCATCTAAAGTTTGTCGAATTTCCCTAATAAAATTCGACATTACTTAACGACATTATTAACAAATTTTAATAAAAACATAACTTTAATAAATTGCTTACGTTGCTATGTGTTTACCGCGTTGAGAATGTTGTTCGAATTTAGTTTTAACAGCGGACTTCGATATACATTCTTCAAATTTTCTTTCGAAATCTTGGAATTCAAAATACCGATTTTGAAAACCTTCTGCTAATGCACCATCTGTACAAGAAAATATAATAAAAAAAACGGTAATAAATCTGCAATTATATTTTTTTAATCTAACTTACTATGAGCAGGTTGACCACGTTGTTCTTGCATACGAGCTTGAAGTGTTTCTTTAGCAGAAATAAAAAATACACGTTCTTCAGCATCTTTGGGAGTATAAACCTTTAACTCTTTTGATAAAAAGTCCACAGCGCGTTCTTGATGTTGAGCTCTTACCTACGCAAATGACATATGCATGTTAACAATTGGAAAATTAAATCTTACAAACATTTGTAACTTTTTCAAATAGAAATAAAAGGATAACAAAATTATTTACAATTGCGAGTGTTCGTTCTTATGCTACGTGCTTTTGTGTACAGCAAATAATGATCTAAATGATCAACCATGATAAAAACTATTAAATACTGTAAGGAATCATTATGAACATAAACATATAACATCGTTTTGTTTAAAACAAATTCATACGATAAGCCAACTTACCTCTTTTTGTTCTTTGACCAGCTATGGGATAAATTGTGAGTATTACTTGAACCAAAATCTGGCTATACGATATGTTCAGATTGTAAATTAATATACTAACTACTTTACTACTACTAAATTATTAAATTAAATATAAATAATATATTAATACCATTAGCAATAAATACATAAGTAGATACCTGATCGAAGAATTCTGGTTCGGAAGCAGATGCATCCCATCGATTGTTTAAAATAAATATATTTGGTTTTGATAACTTAGTCGATACTTTGTGGAAAAAATTTTTCTCCTTAAAAAAGTAATCATTGGTTATTAATATGTATTAAAAGAAAATAGAAAAAATAGTTTTTTTTCTATTACTTACAGTAACCATTAAAGTGGACTCAGCATTTGCAACCAAAACAAACACATCCGCATCCAAACAATGTTTATCGATCCATTCATCTAAATTAGGTGTAACATCGACTCCAGGACTATCAACGAAGACTACATCATCTCTCAATAGAAGACATTTTTCTTTCGGCCAAAATATTCTAACCAAATGACTTTCGCATAATTTTTCTTTACAGAGAGCATGACCCAATTGTCCAACCGATTGTACCGGTTGTTTTTCTGTAGACCCTTCGGTAATAAGATAAGCTTCTCCATTTTCAGCTCCTTCAACTTGTAAAAAGCAATTTGTTGTGTGTCCTATTCCACTGGGTAGAATCTTATCTCGTAACATTGCATTTATGACTGTACTTTTTCCATTACTCGTTCTACAATTTATACTTATTTAGTATTATTTCTAATCGATATGGTTTAATCAAATTAAATATAAGTACCTTCCAAAAAATGCAACTTTCATGTGATCTCTTTTAAGAACATCTCTTATCGCACGAACTTTATCAATATAACTTTGGACTCGAGAAACTTCTTCTGCATTAACGATCTTTCGATCATTTTGCAATGCTACAAAAATAACAATATGTCGTAATTAATATTATATAAGACATTATAGTATATGTTTTGTATGAATATAAATTACTAACATTCCATAAATCCAACCGTTTCTTGGACATAGTCATCTACTTCAATAAATATGTCGTTTATTTTCTTCTTAGCTTTAACGAAAATCTGTAGAGGAGAATGATCAGTTCTAATATCAGTAGATCGAAGTTGATTTTCTCCCCCAATCATAGATATTGTACGATTGATATAAGCAGCCATTTACGTCTTATGCTTTATACAATACAGCAAATTAATTAAAAAATATTGTGCAATTTTATCGGGAAGAGATTGTAGACACACAGTGCACTTCATGCAGGAACAACTGAAATCATAAAAGAAGCAATGAGTCAACATTTTCTACTAATATCTATAAGTAAGAAAAATATTAGATGTAGCAATTCGGTGCTTTGATATTAAATTATTTATAACTCTCGTTTTAATGTAAATAATTGTTAACAAAGTACCGAATTAATTGCTACACCTAATACATTAATGATGTGAAAACTACAAATATTATTGGAATATAATTTCAATATAAAAGTGAATGCTAAGAGTTTTATAATGTGTTTATTTTTTCTAACATCGATATGTAATTTTTAGCAATTGTAAGGTTCTACTACGAGGACACACTGCTTTAATAAACTTGCTTAAATATAAAGAACTATAATTTAAGTACAATGATTCTACAAAAGCTTAGGCATATAACTGAACATATTTTTTAAACAGAATGAAATTTTATATAACAAAATTTATATCTATTGAAGATGGAATTTGCATATACATATATATACACATATACATATTAAAGATGTATTAAAAAACTAGAATTTGATGGAGCAATATATACAACACAGATGATGAAATACAATATCATAGATATAATATAAAAACCTTTTTATCTTTGGTCATTGAAGTATCCCTCGTAGTAATAATCGTTTGTTATAATGAATTCTTCAAATACACTAAAACATTATAAATATTTGTTTATTTTAGAACATATCTTTTAAGTTGCCCAAAAAGTTCGTGTTAAATTTGACATTGAATATATATTTATAAATCGATAGGAATTTTTCTAGAAATATACACACATATTTCATCGAAAAATAAGATATTAGAATTGTTAAATAAATATAATTACTTATATGTTAACTTGTGTGACAAATAATAATAGTTATTAATAATCAAAGTGTGTGCAATTGATGCAAAAAATGCGTTGTATATGTCGTTAAAGAAGAGAAACCTAACCAAACTTAAAACATCTCAGTGTATATTAATAGGAAATAAAATAAACTTACCGATGGATGTTAACAAACGTTATTTAAGTTCGTACAATATATATATATAATTAGAAAATTAATGAAATATGATTTTAGATATAATTTATAAATTTTGTAACTATTATTAAAATGTCCTTTATCAATGTATAATGTGTAGGAGTTCTTGTATCTAAATCTAAAATTTGGATGCACCGAATCAACCAATCAGTGAGTTCGTAGACAGAAAGTGTATGTTTATTGGTGTTTATTAATGCATTTTAGAAGTCACGTTTTGTTCCCACAGTGCAATTGACGTAAAGTTTAGTACGCACATTTTAAAGTATTTTACAAGGGGATATATTAGTATTTATTATAAGTGCATGCGTGTATTAGGATCAAGGTATGCGTGCTTCTGCGTGAGCTAAACATTCAATGCAATTGGTGTTTCTGAGAAGATTTAACCAATCAGTAAGAAACATCAGATTATAAATGGCTACCATATAGTGATAAACGCATAAGTGATCTTGCAGTGTTACGAGGACGGTCTGACGACGATTAAAATAAATTCTATATAAATGTGACAATTTTGTAGTTATGTGCGGAATGCAAGCTTCATATTCTTGCTGCATTCTTGTCTGGACTATTTATTGTTTTTCGTTAGGTAAAATCTCATTATTATTATTATTTTTTATTTATTTAAATGTCATGTAATTAATTATTTTAAAAATAACAATGGATTTCAACTTGTCATCGAATTTGAGTTATTGCAATTGTTAATGTTTATTTTTTTTTTTATATTTTCTTATTTCATTTATCTCTTTACATTAATATTGTAATATTTTCTATGATTTCTTTTATGCAATGAATATTTGATTAATTATTTTGTTATGTTTGATGTTACAGTTCATTCTTCGATGCATGTCATCTTATCGCACAATGGTCCTGTTATGTTAGATGGTACGATTACAATCAAAGCAGATTTGTACAATCCGGATGGATCCCGACCATCTGGTCCATTCAGATATAAGTGGACCGATGATGCTCTTATACCTCATAGAAGTGTTGTTAGTATTTTAATTTGTATATATAATGTGTGTGAATAACTTGTATTTATTATAAATTATGAAAACAATTTTTTAGGTAGGGGATACATGGAATACTACTACGTATTGGAACTTGAGTTATCCCAGAGAGAAATATTCTATAGGAACGTATAAAGTCGAAGTAACAGTTGAAGTACTTTTTATTATCTTTTGGAAGAATGCAACCAGTAATCGCATAAGTTTTGAAGTTACATGTAAGTATTATAACATTGATAGATATATATATATATATATATATAAATTTATATTTATATTAATTTATATTAACTTTTATTATATTTTATATATAGCACTTCTCAATGGCAACTTAACGGTATCGCAAGCAAATAAGACAGTGAGCGAAGAGTTTGTTTCATCCTCATTGGAAACACAATTCAGTATAGATATACGTAAAGGAGATTATGATTTTATAAAAGAAAATGCAACGTCTGTATCGACTTACTGGTTTATCGATTGTCAAAATTACGGACAAACTAACGATCTAAATTTTGTTTATAATTTTACAAATGTTGATGTGTCTCATGGTATCGCAGCTTTAGTTGTTGCATCGTACGAACCTATCCAAACCACCACAACTACAGTCGCAACTACTGTACCGTCTTTAAATTCGACTTCAAATACTACTTTAATAAATGCCAATACGAGTCTTGCTCTATCGACAACTACAATATCGCCTACAACTGTATCACATATAAATACAACCCAAGCAACATCTATGACAAATGCACCTGCGATTAATTCAACTATGCCAAATCATAGCAATATTTCATTTCCATACGTTTGTCTAAATACGTCTATTATACCTCCTGATCCTAATAAAACATATGGTTATTTTACGAAACAAATTTTTGTTAAAGGCAAGTATACTAAGTAATATTTTAGAAGTAACAATTATAAGTTGGATTAATTTTTATTTTAATTACTTTATAGCACCGATAACAAATATCACAATCAAGGGTACTGATTGGATTCAACCCTGGGACATGTTGTCTCTTAATGTGACTTGTAATGGTTCAGGACCATTTTATAAATGCTTAGAATTTCATCAAGGAAAATATAACGTAACCGGTAATGAGACGTGCGAATATGCTGATCACCTGCAATCGTGTAATTTTTCTATCGTTCGTTATTTCTTTGAACCTACCGAATATACAATTTTGGTTATATTAAACAACGACGTCACTAAACAAATTTATCCTAAAACTATAACTGTTTACAAAGGTATGCATATCTTTTTTTCTTTTTTTAAATCCATTATTAATTTATTTTCTTCATTTAAGTTTAAAATAATGATGTGTTTACTATTTGCATTATTTTTCAGTAACACCAAAGCCACAACTCTCGGTAATAGTCGTTCCTGTTTCCTGTACTCTTGTTGCTGTTGTTCTAATAGTTTTTGGTGTGGCGTATTACATCCAAAGTAGAGCGAGATTCACTGTTGAAGTAGCGGATTTTGATTTTGGCCAGAATAACCCAGAGATGGAATATAAAACGTTTACAGAACGATTGCGGGATTCATTTAACAATGCTGTAAGACCAGAAAGCAAACATTTAAGTGTACGAGCGCCTTATTATGGCAGCATGAACTACCAATAAATATAAATTGCATCATTTAATGCAACTACTATTAACAATAAAAGTATATTATATCAACAATTTCGTAAATTGATTATCTTACGAAATATTTGAAATTATTTTATTACGAAATGAGAATATACACGCATATGAAGATAATCTTTAATGATAATCGTTTATACAAATATTTCATAAAATAATCATTTTACAATAACTTTATCATAGTAATTTTCTAATGAAAGAGCAATATTTTATTTAGCAATGCATGTAAATATGTAAATTTGTAATCTTAATTGTAAGGAAAAAAGAACAAAAAAAGAAAGAAAAAGGCAGGTCTTATAATATACACAAATTTAGTTTGATTAATTTTTCCTTTTAGGGATATAAACCGCTTAAAAATTCGAATACTTTACAAACATAACATTTGTAAAAGAGACATGTCGTCGATACAAACTTTACAAGTTTGTAAGGAGTACTTTTAAAGTTGAAAGCAAGTGTACTTCTACAATGATCCAAGAAGTCCAAGAAACGATGAGGTTTGTTAAATCTTATGCAGCAGTATTTGTAGATACTAAGCTGTTTCGCATTAAAATTACTACATCATTATTCACTGTAACCATTGTGATCATTCCGGAGTGGATATGAAAAAAGAGAAAAGCCAAAAACATGACATCAAGATTCGGCACGGTTAATCATGTGCATCTAATATGGAAACACGTTGGACATATTTTGTGAAGATCAGTGTATACGTGATCATCGTTATGTGATGGATTAAGAAAGTATGCGCCATTCCACATAATTTTTCCAACTACATAAAATTAGAAATAAATCTATGTCCACACACACACACACACACACAGGCAATATACTTGTATATTATAATTTAATATTAAGCTTTGTATAAGTCTCATTTGTGCACAAAAATTTCTCTATTTTTCTTTTTTCTTTTTGTTTTTTTAAATTTTCAGGATACTAAGAAAGTAGTGTAATTTTTATCAATTTTAGATATGTTTTTATTATTTTATCTATCTGTTGTTTTCATGACAATCCGTAAAGACAATCTGTCTGATAAAAAGTAAATCGTAGCATGAGTAATTTGTGGGAAAGACTATTAATTCTTTCATCGTATATAGTGATCTATTACATTATATTTAGAAAATTACATTTACGCGATAGCTGAAAATCTAAATTGCTTTTATGTAAATTAGCACTATATATATATAATTTAAATGATATAAAAATGAGATTTACATAAATATTCATTTTAATATACTATTTTAATAACTTCTTTTAAAAATCATATATATATATTTTACGCTGTATTTAAGATTATAAATTATGAAGCAGATTTCTTGAAATGTAGAAATATGTAAAAGTTTGAATATTTACAGATTGATTTAGACTAAGTAAAGTGAAGCTAATTATTGTTAAACAAAATTTCTGTTAATTTATACAGGGTTTCCTATAAGCGATGGTACACCCTGTATGTTCTATTAATTTATAATGTATACATATATATCTCTATCGCTTAGTTTTAGAAAACTTCAAATACAGAGCAATAGTTAAAATCAAATGTAAACTCTTTTGATTTCTTATAGAATAGGATAAAAAGTAAATCGAAACGATAACAATAAAGAATAGAGATATATATATATATTCTACTACTATTTATTCTACTATTTTACAATAATTGTAAAAAAATTGAATTGATATTTAATTGTGATAAATAAATACAACTAACTTGCATACGTTGTATTTTGTTATCCGAATAAAGTTTACAAATCTGCTATAATTGAAAATTTATTGCAATTTATTACATTTGGTTTTACTTTGACACTCTGCTTAGATCTCAATCAAACAATTGATATTTTATTATCGGAATAAATAGCAGTTTTGTAGGTATAATTTATTAATGAATTATCTAAATATTCAGTGTTAAATTTCTTTGAATGTTGTATTAAAAATGAAAGCACTCTTCGATTGATTATATCTATAAAACAATTTTGAAAACAATGACAACGATATTTTCTCCGAAAAAAAGAACAAATTTATTCTTAAGATAAACGTTGTTATCTTGTTTATGGAATTTTGGTATATATTACGAAGATCGAATGTAAAATATTACCTAGATATATTTGTTGATCCTTTGATACACGATGGTTCACATGCAAGCGCACTTTAATGGTGCAATATGTGCACGCTAACTCACACATAGACGGCTGTGAAAATAGCAAACGAACGAGTACGTTTAATCTCGGAATTCGATCAAATTCTTAACTAATATTTCAAATTTGTTGAGAATGTATTTGTAATTATTTTTATCTTGTTTTCCTTTGTTATCATTAAATAATAAGAATATTATTTTTACGGTAGATTCAATTAAAAAAACTAAATTTTGATTAACGTTAAGTCATTAATATTTCAATAAATATTACAGTAGTATGTACTATATAGATTCTAATTTATATACACTTATGATTATATATATTAAATAGATTATTATAATATATAGCCATCGAAAAAGAAATGAGAAAGAAAAGAAAGAAAGAAACAAGTGAATAAACGTAATCAATTATTGAGAGAATCTTCTTAGTATATTAATTTATTTTTTTATAAATTAAAACACTTAAGGCAGGCACCGAATAAAAATAGTCCGATAGTTGATATTAAATTGTTGCATAATTTTGATCACGATTTGAAATAGAACGAACGATTAATTAATGTAATTTGAAAATAGAAAAAAAATAGTACGTATTTAATTAATAATTATTTATATATTAGTCGTTACACAATATCTACAAATTGTCTCCATTTTCGATAGGCAGCTTGTCAATTATACAAAAGAATTTTTATCATAATGATAAAGTTTGGTATAAGTATCCGAAAGAAATTATGCAGCAACGTAATAATTTAATATACATCATAAGTATATTATATTATATATATAGATTAACTTTCATACGTTTTTTAAATTCGTTATCAATACGTATGAAATCTTTTTTATTGTACTATATATACAGAAGATGAAACACAAAGAATATCACTGCGAATTCGGTGGTTTACGACGTAGCGACTATCCCCCAGATACGTCCACTCTTGTCGCCTTTCAACATTTCAATATTCTTCTTTATTTCTTGAATCCTAATTTACGTAGAGCCTTTAAGTCCACGCCTCGATAGTAGTCTTCGCTGAGAAATTCACCACCATCATGATATGTTTATATGATTGTGTTATAATTATTTGCTTCTTATGGGATATATAAGTAAATGGTTTTAATTCAAATTGATTGGAATTTAAAATTTCATTATATTTCTATTTATTCGATTAGTATTTCTTGAATATTTTTGATTAATATTTTATTAAATAAATGGTCAGTATATTTAGCAATAATTATTATAATGGATAAGTTAAAAAATTGATTTTATGATTCATTTTATAATATATAAATCACGAAATGAATTTTTTTAATTTTTCTTCTTAGCCAAGCATAATTATTATGTATGAATATTTTTTTTATTGTAAATACTGTGATCATTTATTTAGAATATTAATTAAAAATATTAAGAAATACTCTGACCCATGTGTATTTGACCGTACTCACATAAATGTTAAGAAAACTTCTATAATTTTACTTTGAGAGTATTGTTACCCCCTTTCTTTTTTTCATGTAAATTATAAAGAATATAATAAACAACCGATAGTAGTTATTAACAGAGTACGTTATAAATTTTAAAGACAACACAACATATATATATGGCATCGTTATTAGATCGGTATTAAATTACAAATGTTCAAGGTGCGTGCAAACATAGGAAGATACAGGAGAAAAGGATATTGAAAGTAACTTAAGTGAAATGTAAGCTACATTAATTGATATTAGCATTCAACATTATAGAAATTAGGTCAAGAGAAAAAGAGAAATAGGGAGAGAGAGAGAGAGAGAGAGAGAGAGAGAGAGAGAGTGAGTTAACAATTTACGATCCGTTCTTCTAATGATTATTTTCACGAATAGATTTCTTCAATAATGAATTTGCCGACTTTTATTAAAAAATCGGATCGCAAAAGGTTGAGAATATCCTATTGAAAAATATATCATAACTATAATCGTATTTTCTTGAATGTTTTTTTTTATTTACACGTTTTCAATTTTACTATAAAACATACAAGTCGGCGATTTTATTTTGTAGCTTGTAATTAAAAGCGAACTATAGACCGAACTCGGGCCAATATGAAATATTATTTTTGGCAATCGTTTGGTCAATGAACGCTATCTAAAGATAGATAAAATTAGGATAAATGTGTAATATTATTATTTGTCTTGTTAACTTTGTCCAAATAATGTGGATAAAACGAAAGAGAAAATCTTTAAATCTGCCGAGACTTTTATTGGAAGTGCGAATTAGTTTAATATCGATTAAATTTAAATGTTAAGAAAAATATAAAGAAAGATAATATAAAGAGAGAAATATATAATAATTCTGAATAATTCGAAATAGATATTAAACCGATCGGCACTTCGGATAATAACTTTGCACTAAATTCAATCAATTATTGAACCATTCGGTAACGATGATTCACAGCCAACATTCGAATAATTTACATTAAAAGAGACTCGTATATAACGTGTGCAACCAAATTCATTAAAAATTATTTGTAAAAACGTTAGGAGACAAAATTCTACAACATATCATTTAAACAACCTCATCATCTCATCATTATCATCATCGTCATTATTATCATCAAGTGTCCATTATCGTAATTCGTTTTTTCGCGTTAAAGTTGGCCGATTTATTAAAACCGTATTGTACGTCGATCGAAGAAGGTCAACCTGATCGTGACCACAAAGATCCTCAAGATATAATTTCGGATCTTTTGAAATCTATTTAACATTCGATTGTGAAATTCGGCTACGAGAAAGAATCGTGCCCGATCGAATTAGAATAAGAGAAATGCGATTTCAACTAAACAACACTTGAAAGCTATTGTTTCTTTTTTTGAGCAGGTTGGTGGGGGTAGTAGGGGGCTAATGTTCGTTCTCAATTAAAAAACGCGACAATGCTTCCATATTGGAACCACATGTTCCTCTTTTCTGAATGTTGATGCTGCCGAGAGCAAGAGTGTGGAGGTGTTTGGGGGTTGTTGTGACCGTAAGATAAAGAAGATCAATGGAACTTGTGAGAAAAGGGATCAAATAAAATAACGAAAGAAATAGTAGGAAGTGTTGGAAAAGGGGAATGGGAATTGGATGGAAAGAAATAATAAAGAAAAAACAAATTGATAGAGTAATTTAGAAGAATTATTCCTGGAGAGGTGCGGATGGCCTCGCAGGTATCGGTGCGGGTCTAGGTTTGCCTTGAGATGGTTTCCTCGGTTCGCCAGAACTTTGGATTCCAGCGAGTAACTCGCTCTTCCTGATGCTTTTTAGGTCCAAGTCACCATAGTAATCCTCGCTGTGAAGCAAAATGGAAAAATATCCAACGGTTAAATACATGCGCGTGCAATTCGACCCGACACGTGTTTTGTGTGTGCGCGCGCGCTTTTTTTTTTTTTCTTATGGTATAAGCAAGGGTTGAAACGACAGTTCCGAAAAGTTATGGAACAAATACAGAACTGATATAACGTTATTTCTTAAGAATCAAAACTGAAGTCGATATGGCCAAGAACTGTTATATCCATAACAGAGTTGTTGTATCATTACTTAAAAAAAAAAAATCGAAACCGATATCACAACTGTTTTCAACCCATGGTGGGGGGGTATAGGTATAGGAATAATGCATGATGCATGCTACGTGAATGTGCAGATTAAATAACATAATACAACAAATGAACGAATATATTATAACGATTTCAAATAAAATCCCTTTAAACAGTGTTCTTAATTTTATTTGCGACACAACAGAATATTGAAGCGTTAAGGATATGCAGTAACAAAGGGATTGACATTTGGTATGGTAGATTATTACCAGGACATACATATACCCAGACAAACTAGATTGGCTTGTACTCGACATCGCGAATTAGATCAAGTTAATACGGTGAAAGTAAGTAGTATATACGGTGTTCGGATCGAGCGAAAAGTAAACGATAAATGTTGTATATAACGTGGCTTACTTTCAGATAGGCATACACAGAAAGACCGAAGGTATAAAAGTTTAACGACGAGTAGGGAGATAAATCTCTTGCATAGAAATCTCTAATTGCATAAATGATTTGTAACTTACCATCCTGGAACATCTTCAGGATCTTCGCAAGCACCGCTACCATCGGCATCGCCGATTTTGAAGACGGTACCAATCGGACAACCATATTCTCTAGCAATACCCTCGAGACATATGTAATACTTTCTACAGTCCTCAGGATGGGCGTGTCTGCTGAAGCTGCCGGATGCTCCGCTCACTTCACCTGCGGCTGGACACGTGAAACCTCCCGCGACCTCTGTTCAATGTAATATCGCTGTATATACATATCTCTTCTCATTTATACTCAAAACTAACTACACTATCAACTTATAATCTAGATCTAGTTAAAAAGCAAATAAGTTAGAACGTAGTCGAGTATTAAAGTCTATTCCCTGTTTACTTATTACCACAAGAAGAAGGTAGGTCAAACTGCAGAATATCCTTATGCGCTTGCTTGCACGCGCCAGTATGTTCTCTTACATATGTTACACGACGTGACATTTGAGAATCTTTCTAAAAGGCTAAATCACAGAGAGGAGTAATCTTTCTTTAGAATATGTCAACTACTGTTCATAGACCGAAGTGATTAAATTTGAGAATTTTTGTCTACTGCAACGATCGATCCTTTTCCGATTTTATAATATTTTTTATTTTTGCATGGCAAATTTCAATTCGACGAATAAATATAAAACTATAGGGTTTAATATGTTTATGCGTTTACCTTCGTTTCTGCATTCGGGTACTTGATCGGCCCACATGCAAACTCTGGCTTCGCGATCGTAAGCAAGTCCAGGACTGCACTGATATCTGGATGCTTCTCCGTTCCAACAATTCCAGAATACGTCGCATTTCTTCTCATCCGGGAAGATACCGTAAAGACGAGAACAATGGGGCGTACTGATCGGTGGTTCCAATTGCGTTCTTTCACCGCATTCAACGTTGTGCAGGTAATCGCAATTCTCGGTAAGGAATTTACTGTCGGATGCGTCGAAAGCCAAACCGTTCCCGCACGTTTTCAATTCCGCTACGTTATTATCGCACTTCCAATATTTGTCGCAGGATATGTGATGTGGGTAGAAACCGAAGTCATCGGGACATTTGAAATTTTCCTGGCCGTTACTTCCTGTAAAATTTCATCAACAAAATATGATCGATCGAATTATACGATTCCTAAGTGCAGTTTTTTCGATAGACGAAAGGGAGGGAACTGTCCTTGTCGTTTCGATATAAAAACAAAATAATTAACAATGAGAAAAAACACAAGGTGGGCTAGGACGTCGAAGCCCAGTTTCAAATGTTACATTATTAATCGTATAAGTTATGATAATTGCCCGTTGAAAAGTTAAAACTTTCGATTAATCTTCGACGAAATAATTGGAATGATGAAATCTGTTTGTTCGATATCTCATTTTAAATTCGCGAAGGCCGGGGACCTTTTTTATTCGACTGACAGATTACTTTCGCTCTCAACTCAGAAACTGGTTTCGTTAAACCATCATCCTGATGTTACGCAGGCAAACACGGAGTCGTATTTCTTTTTCTCTATCTCTCTTTCTATCTTTCATTGATTATTTCTTTCTCGATTCTATTATTCCTATCAGCATGATTTTAATTCTCGTTTCTTAGGAAATAAGATTTCTGTCCGGAAAAGAAAAGAGAAATAAATCCCAACCAACCCCAATGTAGAGATTGCGGTTATTAAGATGAAGAAGAATTCTAAATTACGGATAATCCCTGTCGTCTAGACTCTGTCGACAGATCCTATTTTAATATAATTCCAGGCTTTTGTTTCTATCGCTCGTCAAATAACTCGCTCGGTTTAAACCTCGGAAGAGAATGAACTAATGGTGAACACAATAATTAGATAGTATTAAACGTAAACTTAAATCCCTTCTCGAAATGAGAAAATTTCATCCAGGAAGTTAATATTTTGGAATTCCCATTCCTATATATAACTACTACTAATTATTATAATAAATTTTCAATGGGCCAGCAATTTGCGTTGAAATTATTCTACAAAATGATTTGATCAAACTATTACGGTCTGATATTAAAATATCATTCGCAGGTTGCGAAAATACGCGAATTTATTTCTATTTTAATTTCTTATTTAGGTAATCTCTCGGAAAAGAGAATAAAATATGTTTTCAAGGGTAACGGTAATGATTAGAGTCCGTAATTGGGATAATGTGTCGGAATAAATAGTCCTTTTGGCGACATACGATGGCCGAATAAATATGAATGCGTTATGTAAGGATACGAGCTGACTTTCGCCAGACGCTTTCACTTTGGGCCCAGAGCCAGCCGGATACCCGGAGCAGCCTGTGCAGCAATAACAGAATTGCTGTTGGTGGTACTGGTAATGGTAGTGGTGGTACTGCTGGACCCTTCCAGCATCCCGTTCACTCCTTTCTGTTCTATGTTCTTCATTCGTTCAACGTATACAAATATAAAAGCAACTACCGTGCTTCTGTACTATGCATATATGCCATGTACAAACAACCGACGTATTCATAGTTTTCAAAAGAAAAAGTTAGAGAAAGATCATATGTATGTAAGATCTTGGATGTTTTTACATGTTCGTTTATACGTTCGAAAACACGTGCATTACTTTTTCCTATTTTTATACTTTTCTAAACGACGATTAGCCCCGACTAGACCGATTTCCTGTATTTTTCTTGATTTTCGTCATGCTTCAATAGCATTAGAAACTTCCGCAATAAGATTTCGTTTCGTTGATATTATTTTGAAATTATTTTAATAAGTTACCTAGATGGATATTAAATTTCCTACTTAAGAAATATTATCCTTGATCTTCTCGCATGGTTGGACGATTATAAAAATCAAAGAGAGAGGGATGAGTTAAAATCCGGGCCAAGGTTATCCTCGTATGTTAAAGGAAAGGGAAGGAGTTCGACTTTCGCACGAATTACATGTTTCTTGTGTCGCAAATTTATGTTGGCTCTTTCCTCCCCACCCCCATGCTTTTTCTTTCTTTCTTTTTTCCCCCCTATTTTTTTCTTTTCTTGCACTAACGTCAATGCCGTTTAAAAATGAAGGTGTGGTCTTTTACAGACGAATCGAAAAACTTTCTCCGTCATTCGTGAAGCGTTTCAATTTTCACGGCATTAACTACTCGTGTTACTTTGCTTTATCGTTTTATCGTTATTCTTATCTTCCGCTTTTTTTTATTCGTAATTTCTTTGATTTTTTTCATTACGTTGTTTTTTTCCCCTTTCCTCTTGGTCTCTCGTTTTTTTATTTTTATTCACAGTTTTCTTTAGGTGCGAGCGATCGATTGGTTATGTTCTTTTTTTGTTTTAAGAGAAGAAATGTTTTTCTCTCATTTTCTTTTCATATATATAATTTGCAATATTTATTATATCATTTATTTTTTAATATTTTTTTCTTTATTTAAATATGAAGTATTACAAATTTCTAATAAAGTCAACTATAACAATGTAATATATTTGGATATACTTATAGGATACCAAAAAAATGATTAGTTCTACCGAAGGTTTTGAAATTTCCATAATTCTACTTACTAGTTAATCGTTTATTAATCGAGTGGGTTTGAATGATATTCATAAAAAGTAAGTAGGCTAACGACTTAACGAGTGTGATGATGCTGCGCTGCACGAAGAACATCTATTATTATTATTATTATAGCATGGTAATAAAGTTAATCCTCTGGATCCCAAATGTTTCTTTTTATAAAACATAAGATAAATAATTTTGAAGAAATCCTAAATTTATTTCGACTAGTCCGAAAATAATCAAACAATATATCCTACGCCATATTGTAGCGAAAAAGTCAAAAATCAAACGATATAAAAAATCTATCTTATTTAAATGAATAAAAACGAAACACTACACGAAATATTAAATAAATCATTTAACGTGAAAAAATAATGTTAAATATTGGAAATAGAAAAAAAAATTGAATCAGCCGAGAAGGAAACTAATCATTGAAGTCCGACAATATCCGATAAGTTATTAATTAAAGGAACAAGGGGGGAAAGAACTAAATAAAACTATGGCGAGTGTTATAAATAGACGGGGGTGAGTACATTGTTCGCGCTAGTTCACATGCATATCACACACTTTCATCCGTGTCCGTTATCACTACCACCGAATCCCAATGAAAAATCGCGCGCGAAAAACCAAATAATTGAATGAATCCATTAGATAGAATCACGTCGCGTAATACCAATGGATTTTGAATCGATGCACATTTGATTTTGTTCATTCATTTACGTACCGGCGATCAGTATGGCGGCTATCACGTAGTACGTCCTCATGTTGATTTAAGGAATAAAGCGTGTTCGTTGTTTGCGTTCGTTCGTGCGTGCTCCAGGAGTATTCGTCTTCGCGTTTAAAAAATAATGAATAATACCAAATACGTGAATCTAATGTAATTGTGATGTAAATGTAAGGAAGTCACTACTGTGCAGACACCACCTCCACTTGGTTAGCTAAGAGAAAGAGATCTTTCTGTGTTCGCGTCTCCTCGATTTCCAACTTTATATCAGGCATCGGTCACGTGTCGTGCCCTTCCTCCACCAATTGCCCCTCCTTCTCTTCCTTGCACCTACCTTCCACCTCCTCATCGTTTGTCTCTTCTTCGCATTACTTCGAGAAAAGACCTATCTTGTACCATATTGCTGTACTATACCTTCCCAAACCCCCTCCCATCCTTCTTTCTATTTCTCTTGACTCCTCACCACCTTTTCTTTCTACCCAGGTACCCGTCCGTCCTTTTATTTTTCGGCCTCCGCACAAAATGCCATCCATCCGGAGACTTAACGGCGCGTTTGCGGCCCCCCGAATTAATCAATCAATTTCCTTCTGCTCGAAATCAAATCGAAATTTAGATTCCTTTTTTTTCTTTTTTATACCCCAAATAATACTCCTGCTTGTTGTATATTAACTTATTCCAAATTCTGACATGCTATATAGCATTTATGCACGCATTGAAATCTCCGTAGAATGCAAATCGCGGATAGGTTTCCGATTCAAACATTCAACAAAAAAAAATACGATAATTATTTATCTATTAAATAAAATCGGCACACGAAACTTATTTTTCCGGGCAAAGGCTAATATTTATTTCTAATTAGATTTAGAAATCGGTATGATCATTATTATTATTATTATTCTACAACGTAAGAGATAAACGTTATAAACGAGATAGATTATAATATAGGAAACGATTATTATCGGATGAAATTTTAAATAGAAATGGGTCTCTCAAATATTATCATTTCTATCACAAATTGACTGGTTATATTTCACAAGGCGATATTACTTAACGATCAAGAGAAGAGGAGGCGACCGATGATAATTTACAATTCTCATTTCTAAAACAAAGTATATGTTTTATGCAACAGCGAAATTCCCATGAGGAGTTAACACGTATGGACATTAAAAAATGCGCGAGTTTATCATAATGGTCGTATAATTAAGATAACAATAGACTTCGTCGTCCGAGGTGTCGATGCAAACACCATATTTGTCAATGTCTGCATTTGAATGGCGCTCGGATGAATCGAACCTTACCTGCGAGGTGAATTATACAAAAAAAAAAACAAATACTTTTACCATAAAATCATGGCTGTGAAATAAAAGAGACGTTGTAATAGAGAAGAAACGAGAAGGAAGGAAGGAAGGAAGAAAGGGAGGAACCAAAATGGCGGACGAAATGAAAATCACGTATGGATTTACGTACGAAAATGTGGGACGATGAAAAAAATCGATAAAAATGTAAGTTGAAAGAGATTTTCTCGTGGTTTACAGACGGAATACCGATCGGGCGAGACGCGTTCAGCTTGTTCTTGGAAAGACCAAGGACGATTTCGAACAAGGTGGTCACGCATGTTAATGCCAGACGCTTTCGACGACAACGGAACTTTCTCGCTCCGTTTAATCCAGTTTCTCGAATAAATCGTTTGAAGCGAGCAGAGAAGGGCATTACTTACTTATTTACTCTTACTTGGTATAAAGAATCTACGCGGAAGGACTTTTGTCTTGACCTTGGCACGACATCGTGCGGTATTTTAATAGATTCCATTTTTTGTTTAAATAAATTCGCTTAACGTCCAGTGATTGTAAAATGTTCGATGAATTATGTATAATATTTTTCTTAAATTCGCATCATCGTCGTTATCGTAGATTTTCGTAATGCATGCGAAATCATTGTGCTAATTATTTCGAGAAATCCGTAGCGATATTTTAATTTTCATTTGTATATATAAATTCAAGTTGATCGTATTTTAAATTGACGAGTTAGGTTTGCGACAAAAAGCTTACGATAAATCACAAATATACAGGAAGTGCATTACCGGTCAGCAAAGAAAGAAATGCCTTCCGGATAACGGTAGAATTGCAACAGAGAGAAGTACAATGGTGCGTGATCATGGTAGCGGGTGTTACATACCACCCATACGTCAAGGATGCCAATGTTAGTCTCGATCCCGATCCCGGTATAGTTATTCGAAGTAATGCGGTTCCTATATCCTGCCTCTCTGCCCCTTCTTCGATTAATATTCGGCCTCGCTAGCCGATTATGCATCCTGATCCCGTTATCCTTCCTTCATGGTGCCTCGCCTCGTATATCACCGACAAACACCTCATCGATATTACATATTCAAATATTATTATTATTCTACATGAAACGAGAAAAATGATAGAATTTTCCCCAACACCTCTACCTCCTACCTATTCCCACCCTTGTTTTATATTACCATTATCAAAATAAGATCTAAATCCGATAGAGTTTGTCTTTCAAGATGGATTAGAGCTATAAAAGGAACAGCATTACGGAATCTTGATGCAAAAACCTGAATGTAATATTGAGAAATAAGTATGGAAATAAGATACGCCAGATTTGTATTCTGAAATAGAAAACATCGAATGAAGTATTTTACGTATTTATTATATTCATCCGGGGGAAGGGTGAATTGAGAAAAAAATCTTCATTTTATTAACTTTTAATATACATTCAAATTTTGGATGTGTGTCAACATAACATATCATTTTCTCTTTTTAAAAGTCAAAGATATATAAAGATAGGTAAATAGGATATTCGAGAAATGTTACGGGTGTTAAAAAAAAAAAAGTATCTCTTAAATCGATAGTTTAAAGTAATGCTACGTAAACTCGTAGTCGTAGTACGAGTTTCGTAGTCACCCTATCAAAATTACGTAAACTAGATATTACATAAGGAAATGTTATATCCATGTTTCGTACAACTTTCGTTTAATGTTTCGAGGGGTATCCCTGAAAATCTTGCATATTTATCCAATTCTTGTTCGAATTATTAGAATCTAATGGTAAGTCAATGAAATTCATCATATTATATTTATATCATTTTAAAACTCTTGGGGTAATCGTAATTTCGTACGCTGCACTATACTAATCATTTTCAAGGAAAAATTTGAGTAAAGGTAAACGTTGTACGATTTTAAATGACACTCATTGCAGATGCATTTAGTCATTTCTGTTGTTTACTATTCCTTTCTTATTACAATCATGATTTTATATTCTTCTTCTCTATAATTATTATCGTTATTAGCCCCTGATAGTAGTGGTTACTGCTACCAGTAAGATTATTTTGGGTACTCTGAAAGTAACTGACAAGAGAACAATAACTGCTCTCACAATCAAAGAAGAAGAAAAAGAAATCGTGCAGTGATTGCATAATACGCGATAAAAGAAAAATTGCAAACGAGTAGAAGATCAAGACAGATCGATGTATATAATCGACACTTGCGAATGAAGAAGCACAAGGAACATCCGTTCGTTTGCAGCAAGTGAAAGCCAGCCATGATAGGATGATCCTCGACGATCCATTTCAACGCTCGGATGGTTCATATATGCTTTAGATTGTAGTATTTACCATCACTATAGTCTGTGGTATCGTCTCAAATATGCATACGAGTAAAAGCTTGTCAATAATCTATTATAAAGGAATTTTTCTTATTTTTTCTTTTCGCTAAAATAATGAAAAATTCTTCTGCACGTTGAATGCTAAATTTTCCCCAATTTGTCAGTATTTCAATATAAGAAAGATCCTATATAAAGAATTAGTTTTTTTATAGTAGTGGATGATTTTTTGATCAGAGACCGGATTGGAGTAATCGCGATGGCGATGAAAAAGAAAGAATAAAAATGCAAAGCACGCAACGTTCAATGGAACTTCCCTGATTGTCATTCGCAATACATCCTATAGATACGCGTCGGTGATGCCGACAACAGTGGCGGTAGCAACGATTCTTACAAAGACGTGAAGGGGATCCGAAGAAAATCTATGCGCGAAGGTGTCGATGACCTTTCTTCCTCCACCCCCTTCCTTCACCCTCGCCATTACGATTGTCTTGACTCTTACTTAGATTTGCACGTGTGCCCTATAGAGTCTCGTCCTCGGTTAAATCTACAGTTAAATCTTCATTCTTGGATTATTTGTTAACATTGTATTATCGCCAATTGTTACATCTTACTTTTTATTTTTAACTTATTACACAAAATTAACATGTCAATTAACACAAGGAACGATTGATTTTTATTCGCAAAATGTGTTACTAATTTTACGATTTTATTATACTATAAAATTGTATATTAAAAATTGCCAATGTTATGACGATTTTGTAGAATTAATGAGCTAAATAGGAGAACTAAGAGGTAACGATTTCACATCATTACAAAATCCTAATCGACTACTACTTAACACTTTCCGCAGCATTACTTTATCCATTCCAATAAACTTTCTCTAGAATTTCCTTGTTTTGATTTCTATAGGACGTTTATAATTTTGGTAGATTCGATTGCATCTCTGCGATCGCAATTAAAAATGATGCTAGATACTTAGTTGGGATACGATGTTAGATAAAATGTGACCAAGAGAGAAAGATATCAATAGGTTGCCTCATTGAATTTCGACGCATTGAATATATACTTTTCTCGGCACGAGAGGTTTTACGGTTATGTAAAGTTATATTGTGTAATCACGTCGAGAAATTGTTTTTGTCGACACATTTCAATGAAGCACCTCTCTACTATATATAATACATAGTAAAGGGGTAAAAGTAACAGTAAATATATATATATATATATATGTGTGTGTGTGTGTGTATAGATATATTTTATGCATTCTAACTTTACCTCAAGGATTCGAGGCAACGATAAAATAGATACATACGTCGTTGACCGATGAGATGTTAAGGAAATGATATTACAACAGTTATAATCAATTCCTTGATCAAGTTGTCATTGAAAGTTAAGAGCATCGGGTATGGTCAAGATTATTACTAACGATAATAACGTCAACTCTCAATAACGAACTCGAACGAATGTACTCTTTCGTTCGAAGTATTTCAAGTATTACTATGTAAAATGGTTTAAGAAAAAAGATTTCAACAGAAAGTCGAGGTGAAAGATAAGGGAAGAGAGAAAAGATCGACTAACTAGAAAGATTCATGAACT